CCCTCAATAACAGCTAACTGCATTAACTCTTCCCACAATCCCAAAATGTCTACATAGGCAAGATTTCCAGAAGACTAATGTCCATTTAGACTCCATTATAAGAGAGCAAATCTTCAAGTTGCGTTAAACACAATTGGATGCCAATTCCAAATCTTTGATTGTTGCTATGCGTGCATAAAATTAAGTACTTTGCCTCCCTGCCTGGTCTGCTCTGTTATAACACTTCACACCACGATGTTCAGAGGCTCTTGTTACACATTTCACACATTTGTAGCTCTGCACAGCACAATGGAACCAAGATTTATTAGGCCTCTAGCCATAATACACAGAAAACTAAGAAATATTCTAAATAAATTCCCTTTTCCCCCACTCAAGTGGCTGTTTTACTTCACTTACTGACAACTGAGCCCCAGGAGAGAGGTAACAGACAAAGGAGAACACACAAAAATATTTGCCTTACTCTTTCAAAGCAGTAACCAACATCCCACTGTTTTCATAATCTTTCCTATGTCAAAGGCCACTTATGTTTAACTAATTAAAAATAAAGCCAAGAAAGAACAAACCAGCAGAGTAAAAGAAAATGAGAAAAATAGATTCAGGAAGTATGAGGAAAATGGAGTAAATGTGAAAAAGAAAAGGGCTAAAATGACTCAACCTCACAACTCCCAGATAATCTAGGGAGACATTTTTAGATATGTGTCAATGAAATCACATTTAAGAAATATTACCCTTGATATTTTTCACTCATCATTTTACACTTTTACCTGGAATTTTCCATAGCTGCTACACTCCAGTGTTCAGCCAGTAATCATCAACAACATAAGACAAATATTTGCATTGTTTTTGTAGTAAAATACATCCCTGCTGAAAGTAAGTAACTGCCCAATTTATTGCTTTTCTAATGTCATTTCACTAAGTCCAAGCATGAACTTGAAATAAATATTTTAAACCTTAAAAATAAAGTTTGAGCAATGTTTAAAGAACTACCAAACCCTTAGTCAGATCATGAGCAATATTAGATAATCTATTGCTGCCAATTGAAATAATTGATACCACGTATGAAGGAGCAAAGGAAGTAAGAAATGCATTCATTTCAGTTTAAAGCAAACCGATTCAAGATACTTCAGCAGTCTGAGGAATGGCAACAACCACAAGAAACCTCACACAAGCTGTTACAGGATTTGTTTCTTCACACTACTCTCTATAGCCTACCAGTTTCCAAAACAGTATCCCAGAGCATACTGCATTTCAGATGAACAGTTAACTCCAAACCAAACTTCCACACCTTACTGCACAAAGTTCCACACAGAGCTAAGCCAACTCTGCAGCTTGTAGCTTAGCCCTCTTGCTATCACTGCAGCCAAAATAAGGATAATCCTACTCAGTACCTTAGAACAAATGAAAAAACACCACTAAGTGTCTCCTCCAGCATGCAGTGTGGAATCTAGGCCACATTCCAGGGTTTGCTATTTCTGTAAAGCAGGCTTGCAGGTCATCGTCTCATGCATCTTCCACAGACTGCAACCCTCCAAAAATTTTTATTCAACTCTGATCACATTAGTAATATAGCTTCAAGGGTTTTCCCAGAAAACTATCCTCAAAGGAAAATTAAGGCAGTGGTGAAATAGAAGGATGGGAACACACAGCTTGGTAGCATTTTGTAAGCTGGTTTACTAAACTATTCAAGTTACCACATCAACAGGAATCTATGGTAAAAGATCAGTTCAAACTGACAAAAGATGCTTCTGATTAATCTAGTCACTCTGCAAATATCTTTAAAGAAGCACAGACTAACTACTTAAAGTTGTGTTAACACAGCTCATTTTTGATACCACATAACTTTGTTTGAAATGAGCTCATAAGGACTTGTTCCCCCAAATGAAGGTTGATTCTGAGCTCAACTATTAGAAGAGTGACTTCTGTATATGTTGTTTTTTTAAATTGATACCATTGAAAACATCAGTAATTTAATATTAAAGATACCATCACAAAAATTAGCTAAGTAGAAGGCACACTGATGGTTCAAGGCCTACTAGCCTGTCCCAACCAGAGTGCAATGTGGGGACACCAAGTGGAACTGTGTCCAGTCTAACACTTGAAGATGCTTTCCTCAAAAGAAGTTCGTTCAGGAACTTAATGGTTCTACAGTATGGATACATTCCATTCTCTCTGGGGCTTTTTATTTCATTAAAATCAACTCACTATTGCCTTACTTGAAGAGTGTGAAGTTTGAGAGAGAGACTATTGATTACCACCAAAGGTGAGAATGAAGTAGAGAGGGGGGTTGATTTGTGTCTCTCTATGTATATATGTATTTTTCTTTTAAAAAGAGCAGTTTTTGAATAGAAAGAATCTTCAGGATTCTATTCAGTATTACAGCATTTTTAGTATATTTTTTTTTCCCCTCTGAGGCAGAAAATGCATGAGTCTAGCAAAACTGATAAGTAGTATATAATACAGCAGGGAACAAGGTTTGATGACTTCCAATATTCTCTAAAGACTATTAAAATATAAAGAAAAAACTCATACGGCAAGCCAGTTCACTTTACAATTTGTGAAGGTGAGCTTCAAAGATCTGAATCCAACTTCAGCTTGAACTTCTGGCTGCTTATCTAAACAACCAAAAATCTCAGGAGAACAGACATTTTCCTGAACTAAAATCTCTCAAGTTGGGACAGTGGTGGGAAAAGAGAAGAAACAGAAAAAACAACTTTTATAATGTCAGAGCTACAGATCTTCAAGCCTGGATGCAGCCTAGAAGAGAAGCTGAACACCAGAATGAAATACAGTTTAAAAGGATAATGACAGAACATTTTAAAACTTTTGAGATCTGATGAGCCTTGGCCAGAAAACAAGAATCCTACAAACCAGTAAGTGCTTTGTTCTGCATCCAAACAAAAAATTAAAACTTTCAAAGTACATTTTCTAAGACAGCAGAATTAAAGAAATCAAAACTAACTCAGCAACCACAGCCCAGCAGTTGGACACTCATTTTACAGATTCTCTTCTCCTTGTACCAGATCTAGAAAAGCAGAAATTCAGACTCACGTATGCAGTAAAAATCCTAATGCTGAGAATTTGCAATCACACCTTGAAAACCTTTGTCTCCCTTTAATCTTTGGGAAGGATGCCCCAATTATTTCTGGTTTATTTCTGCTTATCTATGTCATTCATGTGTAGCACAAGCTTGCACAGAAATTCAAAACACTCCCATCTACAAAAGGATAATACTTCTGGTCTACTTGTACTTGCTTATTTGTTTTCTTCGAAGGTCTGCATGTTTGAAGGATGATAAATTTTCTGATACAGCTGGTAAAAAACTGCATTGTCATTTAAGTTTTGGGCTATTTGGGGATAAAGCTCTTTCTTAAATATTAGAAGTACATCAGAAGCATTTTCTTTTTTTTTTTTTTTTATTAGTCAGTCTGTAGCTGCTGATCTTCCTGATTTACATTTGGTTGGAAATGCCACAGCTTGCATTGCTAGAGTTTATTCTCCTGAAGAAAGCCTCTCCAGCAGTGTTATTTAGGGGAAGAACAGAAGTCTAAATATAGGTCTTCAAGATACACTGCACAGCTCTAGCAGAAAAGGGAAAGTCCAGAAAACCCCAGCTAGTATTTGTTATGAGGTTTCCTTCACTAGTCTGGTTAGCCCAACTACTCATTCATGTGTTGATACTGTGTTTTGCAGTTAGTGAAACTGCACACATCTGCAACCAAAGTCTGTTTTACCTCCTAATCACTTTCAAACATCTCTTTCAGATTCTTCTTGCCGCTCTTTTTTTTTTTTTTTCAAATTCCTAGTTGAATGGCTGAAAAAAATATTTGGCCATTAAGTTTCCTTGATAAATGAGAACATGTACTTTTGTGAGGCAGATGCGTGAAAAGCCAATTCTTACTTCAGATTTGGAATATTTAGCAGCCAAAAAAAACTTGGATTATAAAACAAACAGGACAGAGGAGTAGCTATACACAAAGTTTGTAAAGGTAAGGTGCTAGTTAGGAGGGGACTGGGTGTCAAGGTTACATACACACTGGGGAAAACACAGTTTTTGAAGGAATAAGCTGAAGACTACATAATGAAGTGCCAAAGTTTTGAAGTTGAAGCCCTAGTAACAATCAGTACTTTTTAATAAATTAACCCCTATGTGAGGCAGGATGCAACAAAATGCTTGGCCAACACATTGTCATTCTTGAAAAGAAGGTCAAGAACAGAATACTTCCTGTCCTTTTAGGTAAATGCAGCACATCATCTTCAAGTCACACTACAGGCATTGCAAAGGTCTGCTGCCAACCTCTCAAAATGGGTGAGTGTAGTTGCCCATTATCACAAGCTTAGTACACTTGCTACTCATATCAAAGGACGAATGCTTACACTGGAACAGAAAACAATTATCTGTTGTGTTTGGCACAGCTCTGACATTCTCTTTTCTTAATGATAAACATTTAAACTATCTAAATGCAAGAAAGAACATTATTTTGTAGCATCTTGTACTTTTGTCCACCATTAGAAGATTTTTCTTGCTAAGTAAAGCCCCTACAAGGAGTTTATCTACAAAGGGTAGTATTGGCAGCATGTCCTACAAGTTTTTAGACTTGTTTCCAGACTGAAAACACCACTTAAACAGTCAAAAAAAATTAGAGCTGAGACTATCAACAGCACAAATTCCCTATATAATTTTCTCAGAGTAATAAATTAAATTCTCCAAACCAAAGTTAAACATATTAGTAGAAGACTTCACCAAGAGCCAGCCACTACAGTATAACAGAACATGCTAATAGCCAGAACACCTCAGAGACACCACCATTTTGTAATAAGTAGCATAGCCAACAACGTAGCGTTTTTACTTTAGTAAAATAAAACAGATTACTCCAGCAGGGCTCATAACTGCAAGCAGCAAACATTTCAACAAAGAATACATTAAATGCATGCCATCATTAACACCTGCTTTCCTCAGTCTTAGTTTTAGATATTTTTCCACAAATATATTTTTCACTTACCTTGATGACTTCATTTCAGGAAGTCCCATTTCTGTCAGGTCATTGGTTTGAAGAGTCTGAAGTTTTATCTTGGGGTAATTTCACCATGGTCTCAGCAATAAAGCTAAAAGAAACATTTTAAAAGCTGTTTAGAAGTTGCATTTTTAGGGCACAATATCTTCTATAAAAAAAAAAACAGTTTAAAGTACAACACTCACAAGGAATCATAACTAAATAAAAATACACACAACTCTGCCACCTTAACTTTTGACCATCATTCTATACAATGTTAATTCATAGTCTTTTTACACGATTTCAAGAGCATGGGGGAAAGTGATACCAGCCTGCTAGGAGAGCTATATAGCCACAGTATCCTATCCTTTTGAGTTTTCTTGTTCCATCTCCAAACAGATGGACTTAGAAAAGTTCAGGAGTCAGCACACCAGAAACTCATATTAATTTACTAAAGACTATTACATTTGCTACCAGTTAGAACTTACGAAAAGCAGGAAAAAACCTCCATGAGCAAGGCTGAATAGTTGACAGCATGCTTATCATTAAATATTTGAGTTAGAAAGAACCTTTCAAGGTCATCTAGTTCAACTCTCCTGCAATGAACAGGAACATCTACAGCTCAATCAGGTGCTCATAGCCCTGTCCAGCCTTACATTGAATGTCTCCAGGGAAAGGACACCCACCCAACCTCTGGGCAGCCGGCTCCAGTGCCTCACCTATCCTATTGTAAAAAAGTTCTTCCTTACACCCAGTGTAGATCTCCCTTCTCTAGTTTGAAACCATTTTGCCTTGTCCTATGCCAGCAGATCCTGCTAAATAGTTTGTCCCCTTCTTTCTTACAGCTCCCTTTTAGATATTGAAAGGACACTATCAAATCTCTCCAGAGCCTTCTGTTCTCCAGGCTGAACAGCCCCAGCACTCTCAGCCTGCCCTTGTAGGGCTTTCTGAGCTGCAAGAACGCATCGCTGGCTCATGTTCAACTTACCATCACTACCCCCAGGTCCTTTTCTGCACAGTTGTGCTTTATGCTCACAACCCCCAGCTTATACTGATAGCAGAGGTTGCTGTAACTGAGGTGCAAGACATTGCACTTGAATTTATTGAACCTCATGATGCTCACCTGGGCCTACTGCTCCAGCCTGTCTAGGTCTGCATGGGTGGCATCCCTTGGGTGTGTTGATCACACCACACAGCTTGGTGTCATCTGCAAACTGCTGAGGGTGCACTCAATCCCACTGTTGAAGACATTAAAGAGCACAGGTCCCAGTACTGACCCCTGAGGAGCACCACTCACTGATCTCTATCTAGACATTGAGCTATTGACCAACGCTGAGTACAATCTTGCAACCAGATCCTCATCCATTGAGCAGTCTATCCATCAAACCCATATGATATTTGCAGAGAAGGATATTTTTCCTTGCACCAGTACCACCAGCAAAAAGAGTAGCTCAGATGCCAATCTATTGGCAGTGAAGGCAAATATACATACACATTAATTACATGCACATTAAATGTTTTAGAAAGTGCTTCAGTAAATATACAGCATTGCCAGAAGGTGCATTAGGCACTGCACAAAACTACAAAGGCTGCTACGCTTAGAAAGAAGTACTGAGGATTATATAAATCCAAACAGGATAAAGATTCTACTTCCTTTTAATTCCAAACATGCAAGGAAAGATCAGCAGATTAAGTCATTTCTTAAGCATAGACATCTCCAAGCAAAGGGAATAATTAGCTACAAAGGACTCCCATAACTACACTTATGCTGTGTTTTGAGAAAAGATTACTAAAGAGGAATATAACATTACCATGACATCTGTCAATCAATATGCTGATTTGTGGAGTAGAACACTATCATAAAATTCAGATTAAACAACTTTTATAATCATTCTCAACCCCAATGTCACATAAGTTCACCAGAAAATACTTGTTTTCTATGAACTTTTATAAATATACATCTAGAGCTAAGAAATGTATTATTGCCATTTTGACACTGTGTGCATCCACAGAGAGACTGGACTTGGGACAGAACCATGAGGGAGATTTAATCCGAAGGCTTACTTGGCCAAGATAGCTGTTTTAGTCACCTGCACCCATAAACAAGATCAGACCAAAGCTGTTTTCCTCTCTCTCATTCTCCAAAAGCAACAAGAGGATAAATTCCTACTTCAGATTTCACAATCCAGAAAAGAAGCATCTTGGTTCCTGCCTTCTGGAGAAACTTCAAAAGAATGAGGACTGCACAAACAGTCCTGCAATATTGGGCCAGAGCCATTGGTAAACAACAGCAGTTGAAATCCAAGCATAACTGACCAGTTTGTTATCCCAGTACCCAATCCCAATTCCTCGTCTCTTAAAGCTAACATAAGCCATCTGTTATTTGATAATTAGAAAGAAACAAAGGGCTTTTTCAACAGGTAGAAGTGGGTTTAGAAAAAAAGCTGTTTTGTTTCTATCAAAACTAAGTCTCTTGGCTCCTTGCAACACAAAATTTGTGAAGTAGTCATAGAAATACAAGTGAAGTTTAATACAGGCACAGAGTTCTCCAGCTAAATTTGCTGAGTGATTATGCCAGGGCTGGTTTATAACCAAATACATTAGTAGATCCTTCCCATGGTATACATTTCAGAGACTGGGTTTCAGAAACAAGCCAGCTCCACTTTTGTGCATCCCCAAATATCTGAGGCTTTATTTTTAGATATCTGCATCTTACATATTGCTTCAGAGCTCAAACTCTCACCTCAGGCCTTTCCATGGACTTGGCCACCCCACTAGCAGGCCCACTGGCTTTTCCTCAGCACTTACAGAAAGCACTTAGACACAGAAGCACTGTGTCAGCAGCCTCACCAGATGGCTACTGAGGTACAACTCAAAGTTGCACCCAGAGCATCTGAAGTTTTACCTACTAAAGCAAGAAAAAGATGGGATGCCCACGTGGCATTCCAGTCACACTGACTCATTTTTCTTCCTCCTTTGAGGACAAAGGGAAAAACACACCGTGACCTGTAGCTGAAATTTATCTACTGTATTTAAATCACACTGAACACTTTTTTTTGTCTCTCCAGGGCAGCCCTCTTGGGACTGCATTATGAGAAGGAGACAGCGAGAATTAAGTAGTTTGAGGGGCCATAATTAGACAGAATTTCTTGTAAGTGGTTACCATAGTTAATTTTAAATAAAAATGGTCCTCAAGAATATGCCTTCCCCCTCTCCCCACTACTCTAGCACAACCATAAATCACAGGAAGGGCTGGCCAGCACAGCCCCCCTAACTCCAAGTGTGACTCGCTAAAGCTCTTGATTCCTGGAGCACTGTCATGATGGGATGTCAGCCCATGCAGCCAGTCTGAGGTAAGAGGTGATGAGATGGAAAGGTAAATGTTCACTGTAATCTCAGACTTGATAGACAAGTCACCATCCAGAAACACAGATCTGCCACAGCCTCTAAAACAAAACAGAGCGCTCGAGACTACATCTTTGGACATTGCTTATAGTTAAGTTCTTAATTTTTGAGTATTCTAATAGATCTTTACATAGCCAACATCTGGGCCTGCCTTCTCACCAGCCACAAAGAGCAGGAAGACAGTGGATGGCAGAGGAGGATGTTGAATGCAAAACTCAGGTCCTAGTAGCCAGTGCTTCTTAAGCATGCTTACCTAACCAGAGCACAGGTGACTTGAGGTCAGTGACTGCCATCCATTCAAATATCTGGAATTAAAGAGACTGAAAGCAAACCTGTACCAGACGCCACTAATAAGCCTGCAGGAAAATTGAGCTGAGGGATCACTTCTCCATTCTCTTCAATGCCTACAGGCCTGCCTTGGGTTTCAGCTGAAACAGTAACCACTCCGTAACATCTAGGGTTGAGAGCAAGGTGATGAATTGCTGCTTCATATGGCAAGTTACCAGAACCAGCAGTCCAATTGCCTTATTTGATAAGCTTCTTCACCAGTTTCAACAAACGGAAATACTGTTTTCCCCCTACTAATCAGACTTCTGGAATGGTTTCATGCTAGAAAACGCTATTAATATCATTATTCAAAAAAAAAAAAAAATTTACTAGTTGTGAGTCATAATCAAGTCAGTAAAACACTCCAATATGCAGAAAATTGGGAAGTTACCTATTATGTCTTTGCAAGCAGTTGGGATTGTAACCTTTACACTTGCTGTCAAAGTATGCTTCATGCCATAATATCAAAAGCCTTGGCCTCAAAGAACAAGCACTGTGCATGAGAAATTAAGGCTATATTGATTCTCACACATTCTAGCCGTCTAGTACGGTTGCTCTGTAGGCAAACCTGCTAGAAACACCTGCAGCCACCAGAGCCATGCCTACATACAAGCTATGAGAACAGCACACAGCACGGGACTCAGAGACCACTGCTTAACATCTGCTCATGGATTATCCTTTTAACAGCATTGCAATGAAGTACCACTCGCTCAAGCAAGCTACACCCAAACTCAGTTAAACAAAATAAAGCTCGGCTTGCTGAGCTCACCAAGAGAGGCTTCTACTCTGATAACCTGGTCTGCCTTGCTTTTGCCTGTCTTAATACAAAATGCCAGGTCTAAAGAGTAAGGACCAGAAACTCATCTTGGTCCGCTGTAGTCATGCAACTCCATTCAAGGAGATGTGGCTTACCGTGTTACAAATCTTCACATTTTGAAACTTTCTGGTTGCTGGAAAGTCTAATACACCAAGTGTAATTAAGCTGTTCTGGAGTCCCTCAGAATTTACATTCTTACTTGTAACTGTGTATCAGTAATAGAATAAAAAATAAATCCCCATACTCTCTGAGGCATGATAGGAGTGTGAGTTATGGCAGATATGTGCCATAGTTCCTCCTTTTCTTATAGGCTATGCAGCATGATAAAAGATTGAATATGCCTCTGAATTAGATGCCTCCTGCTTCTTGTCTAGACTTCCAGCTGAATAGTTTGTCACAGCAGTTACTCTTCTTTTAATCACGTGTATAAGAGACAAAAAAACAGGACTGTGCAGTTTGCTCATCATTGGAAAAGCAACTGTTTGATGTTTTGGTAACATTGTTACCAAAAAACAGAAGGACCCTGCACTTGTGAAAACAGGTATGTTTAGAGAGGAAACCTGGTTTACTTTCAGTGCAGAGTGCCAGGTGCAATATTTCTACAAATCAAACACAGCCTCCTGCTCATTCAGTTTGTTTCGTGTTATTTTTTTGGTTTGTTTTTTTTTTTTTGTACACACTGCACTATATTACTCCACCTTGTTAATAGAGAAGAAACATCTACTACCCATATATGCATTGGGTTAAGCAAGCGTGGTACCCCATCCCCTTTTAGCTACTTTCCCCAGTCATCTGGGCTTGAGCAGGGTTGTATGGGGGTCTCACACGACCCTCAGTGATTGCCTGGGAGTGCCCTCCTTGCTCGTCCTGCAGAGTCCTTATTGCTTTTCCAGCTGAAGCTTTAGGTCAGGCAGCACTCCCAAGAGCCAGATACATCTCGTAAGTCATTGCTAGGACTTCAGTCAAGTCAGTATTAACACTTTTACTGTCCATTTTCTTCTTCTTAATCTGATACAGACCATAAACTCTCCTCTACAGACCCAGTCATTGCCAGCCTAGCAAAAAAGCAGTTGCTTTGAAGCTAAACAGTGGAACTCTTGTCACCTATAAATACTAACCAGAACAGAAATACTAGTGAGGGTGAAGAGTTATTAAAGATAAAGAGCAATTTTGTTATGAGATCAAGCAGCAATAAGCTAAGAACAAATCTAGGCTTGAAATCAGAAGGCTTCAGAAGAGTTCTTGAACTAGACTTTAAACCTCAATAGGTTTAAAAAAAAAAAAAAACCAAAAAAAACCAAACCAACCAACCCTAGGTAGAACTCTTCTACAAGGTAGAACTCAAGTTTGAAAGAAATACATCTGTTTTTCCACATTCACAAAAGAGATTACATTAGTTCAATCCTATTACTGGTCATAGTTTATTTGCTCTTAGCCAGGCCAATACGATGCCCTAATTTAAATGTGTAAATCACTTATTTTAAACATCTACTGTTTTAAGACCTGGAATCATTCCCTTGCTAAATAACAGCCACTCATCTGAAGTTTCAGAAATTGCATCTCTGGTCATTTCAGTGCTTGAGCTCAGAAGCCTTTCACGCGAAACATGAAGACTTCTACAAAGATGAGAAACAAGGCATTTTGCTAGTAATAAAAATACAGAAAAGCACAGGTTATTAGTGAAAACATACACACGCACTGGATGCAAAGCTTCATTTCATGATGTTCTTTAGACTTCACTGATTGCCCTGGATTTTGACCTACCAGTACTGCTCCTAGAACTCTCTGCTATTCTTTATGGTAAAAAGCTCTTAACAGCAGTGTAACAGAGGGGAAAAGCACAGCAATGACAGCAGAACAACAAGGTCCTAGGCTGCAGAAGGCAAGGATTGGTTCAAACACAACAACTGTGAGTACAGAAATAAAAGAGACTGCTTACCTATAGAAGACCCAGGCATATAGAGAGCCTCCAACAAGATACACTTGCCTTCACTCCCAACCCTTAAATGAGGCCTGGGAAGAGGTGAATCCTGGCTTCTCCCCTTCTTCTCACTCAGGTATATTGCACGCACCTGAGCTCCCCTGGGTTGGCCCTGCCTTCCCACCAGGTGTTCAATCACTGCTTCATGCTGTGACTTTGCATTTCCACTTCAGGCTACTAAGAGAAACTGAGCTTTATCTCTTAGGAGAAACGGCTGAGGGAGCTGGGATTGTTCAGTCTGGAGAAGAGGAGGTTCAGGGAAGACCTTATTGCTTTCTATAAGTACCTGAAGGGAGGTTGTAGTGAGCTGTGAGTGGGCCTCTTCTCTCCTGTAACTAGCAGTAGAACTAGAGGGAATGGCTTCAAGCTGCACCAGGGGAAATTTAGGCTGGACATTAGGAAATACTACTTCTCTGAAAGGGTGGTCAGGCAGTAGAATGGGCTGCCCAGGGAGGTGGTGGAGTCACTGACCCCGGAGGTGTTCAAGGAACGTTTGGATTTTGTGTTGAGGGACACAGTTTAGTGAGTACTATTGGTGATAGGTGGATGGTTGGACTGGATGATCTTGAAGGTCTTTTCCAACCTTGTGATTCTGTGATTTATCTTATGTTCTTCTTCAGTAATCACATTAGCATTGAAGTTAGTATAACAGCATTATTACCCCAGATAGATAATAGTACTATTAACTGAACATCACAGGTGGGCTAAGCCCCAACAGAAGTCATTGTGGTACTCTGGAAAATATTTTGATATTTCAGGAAGAGGATGAAGCAAGTATAGTCTGAGAATAGGTTCTTTTCTGCATGACATTCTTCAACTTTTTGCTGTTTATCATAACGCATTACTCCTTTTTTTTTTCCCTCACATTTGCTTCTTCTATTTGCCACAGAGCACTATTAGCCTTATAAAAATTACTCATACTTTTCATAACTTCTTCATACATTCTTCCCTCCCAAAGCTGAAAAAATCTTTCAATATCACAATGAGACTGCCAAATGAGCTGTAACTATTTATCATTAACAGCTGGAGACAAACTTTGCTACACATAAAATGACGGGTTATGAAACAACAGAGGCAGGAATCCTCCATGACAACAGAATTGAATTTAATTGATCTCCCCATGGACATCATTAAAGATGCTTCATCACCTACAGGGCTAAGTCTCCAGAATGACATCTGTGGTGCCTAACATCTCACGTGCCTGTTAGGGTCTGTTCTGTTTATGTAGTCATTACTGCATGGTCTACCTTGGTTTCATTGCTGGCAGGAGCCACGAGATCTCTCTGAAGACTCCAGAATTTCACCCAAACCAGTTTGGGGAAGAATTGGGAAACTTTGAATGGTCACCCCTTAACCCACACCTTCCTGTGAGCGCTCAGATAACAGTAAAGTTTGTTTAGTGCTGCCTCCTGCTCTGTCAAAAGCCTGGCCAATTTAGGAACACCTGACTTAAATCTCCATTGCTCAGGGCAGCCAGGAGCATGCTCAATAAACAGAAGACAGCAGTTTGTAAATCCAAGTTCACTGCAAACTTGCAGTTAACGTGAAATCTTCTTTCCCCTGATTGGGGGGAAAAAAAAAAACCTCCTCCCTCCCTCCCCACCTTGCACAACCATTATTTAATTCCAATCAGGGTAAGCATGCAGTGCAACTGAAATCATTCCCAGCTGGTGCAGCACGCTCCCTCCCAGCCACACTGTGACTGCAGCTCACTGTGCAGCCTCCGTACCTCAGCAGCTGGGCTAAAAGATGGGACGTTCTGGGAGCAGGAAGAGTTGAGTTTGTCTCCTCCCTTTTTTTTTTTTTTCTTTTGTGCTTTGATTGAATACCTTTAACTCCCTCACATCAGCAGTTTTATCCTCACTTAGCTTTGTTAACCATACAGGCTGTCAGTAGTGTATTCTTCCCGAATCAGAGTTACTGCTAGCTCACAGTACAGGACATACTATCCCCCAGCCAGCTCTGATTACTACTAAATATATCATAAACATGTATTTTGTGAGAGTTGTAACTGCTTTCACTGCTGATAGCTCACAGCATCGTGTGGGGATGCCTCCCTCAGCACCGCCCTTCTGCTCCCCGATAAAAAGGCGGGAAAGCAGCGGCTCCGCCAAGCCGCCGCAGCGCTGCGCCGTGAGCGCGAGCCAGCAGCTGGTTTTCCAGCCTCAGCGCCGCCACGTGGCGAAAGGCGGGAACTGCAGCGCCGGGCCGCGAGCGCCGCCGTTAAGTTGCGTCGTTGCAGGTGCGAACAAAAAGACGGGTTCATTCCCAAGGCCCCTGTGAGCTCCAGCATCTCGCAGAAATTCACACGTGTCACGGGTGAGGTAACCCAGTGCAGCGAGTTTGGAGTGTCTGTATGAGCCACAAGCTTTTTCCATGACGCCGGTATATAGAACTGCTGAGATCAAAGCTAACCAATTCTTTAGTTACAATGATGAGATCCATTTCATGGACAATTTTGTGAGGCACACTTTAAAGTAAAAGAAATGTCAAAATCAAGAGGAGAGCAGCTTTTCTAAAGTACATAGACTTCTTCCTCTCAACTTTTATCAGTGGGAATATTCACTTTTTAAAATGTTGTTCTTCTAAGTTGCCTTCACTGCTTCTTAGAAAATCTGCCACTTTCTGCTCCATTTAAAGACATTATTGAGTTTCCCTAAAAACACCGATGGGCACGCTGTAGAACCCAGGATCTGATTGTGGAAATATGGTTAGTAGTGAGATTTTAATGAGATTTTGATACTTAAAGCTGGTGTGAGAAGGGTCAGGCTCCTAATCGCGTTAGACATTGAAGAGATTACAGGAGAGACTTTTTCCTCACAGCCTCTACCCCGAGCCACCTCTCTTTAAGCAGATCAGACCATCACACGTAACCTGATGAAGCACGTGATGCTGAATTAGCTATAAAGTCAGACATAAGTTTATCCATTCTGCAGTGGGAAAAAGGGCATCCCACTCCACACTTCTGCTGGAATAAGTTCTTGGCATAACCACAAACATCCAGTGAAACAAATGCTGGGAATTCTGACAGGAGTTGTTCCGTCTGCAGACTTCGCTGTCAGAAGCAAACCAACACAGAAATAAGAGTACTTCTATCCCCAGTCTCTCAGTGAGTTTTTCTCCGACTTCTGATCCCTATGGAGGTCCAAAATAGTAGTTGAGGGCATCTCTGCCACTTCTGCTGCCATTTCTGTTCTGAACTCATGCAAATAAGGGCATCAGAATGACTTCTCCTGTTTTCAGAGAAAAGCGTAGAGCTGGAGGGCAGCGAGGGAGAACATGCTGAAATATAAATACATGGCCTAGAAGCTGCGTTCACCAGGGTTTATGACTCGATGTTCTCCTTTCACACACCACTTCCACTTCCTTCTCAACGAGCACAGACCTTACAGCTTAAGACACTTTTTAAGTAACTAGATCTGCCTTCCGCAGTTTTCAGCAGCACCAGCATTTTATTTTTTAATCTAAATTTAAAATTGGTGTGTGCTTTGGAGCGAAGGTTGAATTAATCTCCCTGATTTTGCATGTAAGTTTACAGCCACGGGATCAAGGAGCCTTCAAAGCGAAAGAAAAACTCTGTTACAGCAAGAATAACCTACTTTCTCCAAAGACATCATTCTGGGCTGCTGCTGCTCCCATGTACAGCTTGTTGAGGCTGTTGCACTTTAACATCAGAATCAGTTTGCCATTCTAGGATGTATCCATACCAACTTCCAAGACTATGTTTTGTACTCTTAGTATGTATTCTTAAGATGCATGGCCTGATTTTACAGAGACCGTTTCCCTCAGTTATGTGCATTCCTTGCCAGTTTTTGTTTGCTACTGACATATCACTGGCAGACAGAAAAAAGGCAGATTGAGTTTCAGTCCCAAAAGGAAGAGAAAAAGATACTTCTAAATCTAAGAAATAAAACACTGTATAAACCACACTGTATAAAACCATTGTATAAACTACAACTCCGGGAACAATACTACTGCTAAGTTTTATTCATTGCAGATTTTCGTCAATTTTAGTTTAAATGCGTGAAAAATGGTATGAGAGTTAGACGCTATCTAGAAGGCAGGGTAGAAGCAGGAGGAAATGTTCATCTGCTTCTTGTTTTCAGTATGTTCATTTTAGTTGACCGGCCTGGCTGAGCACTTCAATAAGGTGTTCTGACGCAAGAAATACCACCATAGATGCAAGGAAGTCGTTGAAAATGGTAATGAACAGAGTCCAGACAAGCACACTTTATGAAAATAGTGCTGAAGCCAATCTGACAAGGAAAGAGTTGTGCTAGCTAAAGCCCATAAACAAACAGGGCCATGCTTCACCCTCGCACAGCTGGCCTCTGAGGAAGCTAATTGTACTTGCTCTTGAAAGAGAAAAGAGCAGATAAGCCACAAAGAGTTATATTGTGGGAACAGCTTGTATCAACTCTGGTGAAGGACATGAAAGGAGCCAACTAAAAATACATTCAATCCTAATTGTGGCCAGCTTATTTTGATGGGGACTATTTACATATCTCATTCAGATCTTTAATGTTTCTGTGGTGAACGTCTTTCTTTTTGAGGAGCCTCAGCCATTGATTCCTTATTAACTTTTTTTTTTCCTAATCTAATGGAAAGCAAATGAAGATATTTAGTCAAATATGTAAATTTTAGAGCAGAATGAAACTTGTTACACTTGGGGAATTATTTTAGACATATAACAAGAAAATCCAAGAAGATATCAGGAAGAAATTCTTTACTTTGAGGGTGGTGAAGGAACACTGGGCAGGTTGCCCACTGAGGCTGTGGATGCCCCTGCCTGGAAGCATTTAAGGCCAGGCTGGATGGGGCTGTGAGCAACCTGGTATAGAGGGAGGTGTCCCTGCCCATAGCAGAGATGGAACTAGATGATCTCAAAGGTTCCTTCCTACCCAAATCATTCCATGATTCTATGATGCAGTGTGCTTTGCTATGCAGAGCTGGCAGCTTCTGCAAAATAGTAAATTCATGTGACTTGCTGCCTATATTAAGTTTTAAATTTAGAATTTACACATCTTAATTTTAAACTGAAATTCTTAGAATCATTACTGTTGCTTGGAAATTGAGTCTCCTGCAGAAAGAGTAACAGCTTCCTAACATTTGAAAGGCCCAACCAAAAACGAACTCCCACAGTTTCGGAGAAACTGAGGAGCAAGAATTAAAATCTGTTTCATTAGTTTTTTAACATTGAGTTCTTCTTTTAATTCTGTTTTCTGTAAACAATTTTGTATTCCCATGGCCTGCTGGCCGCTGTTTTTGCCTGCTGCTGATGCACAAGGGAAGGGACTAGACTAACAGTGACCATCCATCTCAGCAGTGACAACATTATACATGTCACACACAACTGCTGAACGTTAGTCACAGTCTGTATAGCAGATACACTTGTCTTAATTCAAATGAAAATTAGGTTTTACTGGCAGAGGCAAACCTCAAATATGTTTCAGTCTGCTGAAGACAAGAGCATTTCAAAAATACCACTTTTTGAAATGCGAATGGTCTGTCAGGAAGGAAGAACTTACCTTCGCTCAGATTCACTGCCTCCTATGGAAGTGCAAAAATACAAAACATGAAGTTGCTTCTCCTCCAACTGTGTTCCCTCCAACTGTGTAGTGGCACACTGCCTACAGCCAACCTTCAAATGCTACCAATAGCTTACTGTATGTAAACCTTGGAGCTTGCATCAGGAATAAAGGACTATACTCCATCTTCTTGACTGTGGCATTTTATTGACAATGGAAGAAGTTACATCAAGAGGTCATCTTCCAAGTTGGAGTTGGCAGGCGAAATAAATGGTGAACTGTGTAGTAAAAACAAAACCAATTTTCTTTTGTAAAATAGTACACTTTTTACTTCTTTAGCAGTGGATCCCACGAGATATATGCATGCAGCATAGTCCCACACTCCCCTTATTACTTTTTTTTTTTTTTTAAACATCATGGACTCACTGGCCTACTTGCACAGCACAGACTTCTTAAAGGTCAGAATCTCCGCCTGACTTCGCAATTAACCTGTTAGGAATGTAATTTCTGCAGGCAACAGAAACATCCTGCCACATTTCTATTTCAGCAATGCTTTCTACATTATTTATATTGCCAGAAAATTACAGAAATCATTAAAAGCTGGAGTGCTTCAGTCTCGCACACGCTACGCAGGGATAAGTTAGGCACATCTCCTATTGCCACTCAGCATTGGCAAGTATCCTTTTACTTCTGAAATTATCCAGTTTGTTCAGCCCTCCAACTCATCACACACAGTACATGCACTGGCTCTAACAGTTCTTGAAGCACTAGGACAAGCTTGCTGCAGGAGCTGACAGAAAAACAAGCATTAGGACTGCCAGGAGGAAGCAACATCTGCCTGGATGGCAGGTTCTCCTGTGGCTGGCTGAAGAGGCATGCCATGACAACGTTTTTCCTAACAGTGAGAGGTCTGCCTTCATAATGTTCAGGGCAGTGAGTGAATTTTGGTCAAAACTTGAAAACTATACTCAATTTCCCATTGGCAGGGGCAGTCTAGTGAGAGCTGCCAGAGCTTGGAGTGTAGCATGCGTCCACTAAGGAAAAACTCCTTCAGAAATCCATCACCTATTACCTTGCACTGTAGTTCTGACTGATGCTGTCTGATATGGCAAATTCAGAATGATGTGGTACCTCTCCCTGGGGGAAAAACAGCACTTGGTATTGGCAGGATCTGCCTACAAACCTGGGCCAGCAGCTACGTAGGGGGATAATTACTGCTGAACGGAATGAGAACTTCTGACCTCTAGAGCACAGCATGAGGCAGTTTCTTCCTTCCCAAGGGAATTACTGAAGAAGCAAACATTATTATGGATGACGCAGATGAGAAAATGAGGAATGGGGACAGGGAGGAGAATGAATTGTTTAAATGGAAACTTTTAAATTTATCGTGTTTCATTTCCTATCAGTGCATGGAGAATTCAGAGAAGTACAGTTTAGATTAATAAGATGAAAAATTGCCACTCAACGTTAATTTACAAATAATTTAGGTAACTGTGGTGGTATTTCTGCAAGCCCAGAGAATCACCAAACGAGGCTGCCTAGTGCCCTCTTGTGGATTTTAGTCTCTAAAGCAATCTTTTATTTTTCTGAAAACAATTTTTGTGCTTTGAAGGCTGGGCTGCACCAGGAGAACAACACACAGTTCCTCACAGAAAGGAAAGCAGCTTTTTGATAGCCTGTTTTTAATTAATTACTGGTTTTCTGAAGGTGAAGGCTAAAGCAAGCAGCAAACAAGAAGTGTCTACTTTGTTCTAAAGTAGGATTTTTTTTTTTTTTTTTTTAATATTTCTAAATATCAAAAACCTTGCCATAGAGGTTTTAGTCATAGTTAACTATATACAGCTCTGTACAGATAGCACCAACTTAATCTGGTTGTATTTTCATCGCAACGTTCTCACCTCCTTAACAGAAAAGAGCTCTATTGCAGGGACAGGAATGGAAGATGATCATTCTGTTACCTTCAGAGTAGCTAACTCATTGCTGGTTTGCTTCCTTGACCTTTTCCATGCTACTTCCAGGTTGCATCAACACACCCCTTCCAAAGGAACTCACCTTGAATCCACTACATAGAAGGATATCTTACCTAATTAGAACCTACTAAATTGTTAGTGTTCTTAAAATACTGAATTAGTTTTTATCCACATAGCATAGAATAACCTTAGAGAACCCCATCTTCTGCATCAGTAAGGATGTTCACTTGATTACTGATACTAAAAACACCAAAAACACAACATGCTACTTAGGTCAGGCAGTAGATGGCACTGAAATCCATCTAGGAGATGGAGTTACGTCATCCAAATGCATGAAACTTCATGAGGACAAAGTGTATGCATGTCTCAGCATGTTTATATTGTAAGTTTAGATTTGGTAAAAGAATACAGGTATCTCATAGCTGGACCTACAAAAGTCAGAGGAATAAAATGATTTTGTAAACATTATTATTTCTATAGAATACTTGCAAGTAAGTGTTAAAACTTACTGTTAATTTGCTTACTATTACTCATCTGAAGATGTAAAAATGATCTCTTTACAAAGCTTATTTTTTACAAATAAAAAAAGCTTCATTCTTTCCTTTTTTTTCCCCATTCTTTCAATTGCCTTAAGAATGTGAGTGAAATCAATTTTTGTTTTCAAAACTTTACCAAAGACTATTCTTAAAGAAAATAGTAATAATTCAGTAGAGCTCACCCTGAAGTTGTTTCCTGGCTGTGCTGCTGCTGGAATCTCATACATTCTAACACCATCCTTCTCCTGTCTGGTATGTCCTATTTCCCAGAGAGAACCTGAACTATAAAAATCTTACATAAAGAAAACTTTATTATATTGTTCTTATTTAGGATAAAAATCTGCCTAGTTCTAGATTTCTGCCTTAGAAATGCTGTTACAAAGTGAACCAACCAGGAACATTATTACAACCAAGATGACAGAACTACACATATCAACCAGCAGGATCACACAGATCAGAGCAGTGTGTCAACCCTGATCTTTCTCCCCATGCTACTAATCCATCCCATCGAGGTCAGCTCACAATCATCCACTGTAAGGGATCACTGCTTTCCCACACAGCTAGAATCCCAAGGGCACACCAGTTCATTTGTGTTTCATGGTCTATAGGCATAGAGCAGATATCAGCTATTTAATAAGGCAGTAGCTCCGGACCCACGAACCTTTACTCACTTGGGCACAGCACCAGGCTTTCAAGATTAAGTTGGCACCTCCACGGAGCAGCACTTGTGCCATTTGGGCAAACACCAACACCTCTGCACCACATTCCTCTGCACAGTCTGGATCTGACTCAACAGATGCACTGAAATCAGATCACAGAAATTCTGCAAGCTGAAGACAGGTATAGTATTCCCAAGCAATTCACTAGAGCACACAGAACAGAGAATAGGTTCAAAGTATATGCAACATTTTATTGAAAAAATACGAATGTTCTGTACATAAAGTACAACTCAATGGGCTTGACAAAATCTCCAGAGACTTATTGGTTTATAAAGGTCATCTTTTCTTCCTTTTTCCTCTAAGAACATAAAGCACACAATGAAGCAGCAGGTCCCTTGTACTTGTGCAAATGCAATCCCATCACTGTGCATGTAGCACAGCACTTGGCTCTGCACACGGGACTCCAACATGTTCAATGTACTTTGACGGATGGCCTGCAAGAAACTTAAAGCATGGAGGAACTGCACAGGACTGGTCCTTCAATCAACTGATGATTCAAAATTTATGAGATCTCTGTATTCCTAAGCAGCCTTGGGTATCCATTATTTCTGACAAATAAATACAAAAATAAATAGGGATCTGGCCTCACAGAACCTCAAGTCTCAGAAGCAACACAATTTGTAGCAAGCTACATACATAATTCCAACTATATCAACATAATTTATTTAAATCTCTATCAATAAATGTATTAAAAGTATAAATTCTTATCCAATACTGAGAGTTTAGTTCTGGAAATAAACCCAGAAAAAAAAAAAAAAAGCTTTTTCAGTTCTCTTACAATTTAGTGTGCTCTTAGAAAATGCTTTATAGCTGAACTTCAGCAGAAACTAGCTGCTATATAATGTTATTCTATTCCCCAAACCTAATATAAAAAGCTTTTAAAATCTTTTTACAGTAACTGGCTTTCATGTCCTAACTTTACATACAGTTACTAAAAATACTGCACATGGCAGTGTTGTCCAAAAATAGGTTTAATGGTAAAACTACATGCACAAATGCTGGAGTATCAAAGCAGAAACTGAATAATGTGGCAGCTTCACAATTAAATTATGTTGCTAATTGGATGGTGTACCAACACTTTAACCCCAAAAGATATGTATGTTGCAAACGGAAAGACAATGAAGAGAACTGGATGAGGAGAAAGTTAGGCAGAAAAACCTTTTTTTCTTCTCCCATTAAAACTGGAATGTCCGTTATCACCAATAAGGTAAATGTAGGCCAGCATTAGAAATTTGCACTAAATCAGGAGTAAATTGTGATGACTTCTCGGCCACCTCCTCGGACAAGTAATACTCTCTCCAGACCCTCAGTCAAAACTTCAAGAAACTCCATGTCTGTTTCAGGAAAGTCAAGGACAAAGAAATGTTAAAACCAAAATGCCTCCCCCCTTCCAGAACTGTAGTAAAACATTGGATTCAGAATGTTATGAGCAATGAAAAAAAAAGAACTCTGAACAGTTCTTATTTCAACCCAGGACGGGAGAAGTGTTCCTACAGGCAGATTTAGACCAGATTTTTTCCAACAGTTAAGAAATGTTACCTGTGGCTGAACACATTTCTGTATGCTTATGCTGTGAAATATCTCACAGCAAGATGCTACATGAGAGCCAAGTTTAAACTGTACTATATTCAACAGCTTTAGGAGTCTTTTTGAAAGCAAGACTCTCACTTCCCAGCAAAATGATGTGAGCACCAGGACACACAGGCATTTCCTCTCAGTTGTTCTTTTGTGAATACTGCATGCTGTTTGGTCACAAGGGCTCAGCCTCTCTAGGGATGGCTGGAGGAGTAAGTAGCATCACCCAAAGTTACCCAAAGCCTGAAGTTCAAAATCTCTCCTGCAGCTGTAGCAGCTGTGCCTGAAACAGCCTTATGCTGAGGAGTGTTTTTCTCTCTTCTTCTTTCAGCCAGCAAGCTTTTGTGTACCAACTGTTACCACTGTTTCCCTCCAGAGTTAGGAGAAAACTGCAATCATTTGGTCTGTGATTCGCATACACCTATTTTTGGCACAGCTCAAAGAGAGGCTTGCTAACATGGCAGTACAAACCAAGGCTGAAGAGAAGCTATGGACAGAATGCCAGGAGGCTCTGCAGATTGCAACCCCCAGCTCTAATCTTGCTTAGAGGCATGGTGCAAGTATCCTTCTAGGTATCTAAATACTGTAGGTTTGAATTTTAATTGTACCAGAGCATTGCATTCACAGCTAAACTTCCAAATTCCGTTGTGAGAGAATACACCTGAGATACACCCTCTCTATCAGCACTTCCTGCTCACTTGGTTTCAGACACTGTCCTGAACTCAGAGTGCTGGCTACTGTGAATGCCTCCTCAAACATCTGCTACATCCACTATTGAGAATTAATCTCCAAAGTCAGCACTGTAGACTTCATCCCTGGATGCAGGCGCCAGCATTTAAATGACACTGTGCATCATACAGCAGTCCATATGCCTTTCAGAATTAGCCTTTGCTCCTGCCCTAGAACATGTTAAGTGTCAAACTCTTTACCCTTTTCTCTCTAGTGAGAAAATCATCACAAATGAATTGCGTGTTGTTGCACAAGCAAGACTTGCAAGGACTTGGTAAGTTATGTTAAATAAGAATTGAGACAACACTGATTTCAAATCTACAAGGCTTTTAGAGCAACCAATGGCAAATTTTGCTTTAAGCAAGTACTATGTAGCAGCCCCAAGCAAGTACTCTCCACTCAGTGGAAACTGTCATTTATCACAGTCTGACATTTGTGTCAAAACAACTTCGAGAACACACATTAAAGAAAAAGTCTGTATGTGGACCAGGCCTGACTGAAAGGATACAGTTCTCATCACCATCAGTGTTCTTCGGAGGACCAGGCATATTAAGGAGAACGAGTCTGGCATCATGGGATCTATTAACAATGACTTCATTCAGCTTCACTGCTGTGTGCATCCTTCGGACATTAGATTGGTTCCTGCAGAAAAGCACATTTAGACTTCCTGTCAGAAACATGCATGAAAAACAGAATGCCCAAGAATTCCTTAAAAGCATACCTTAAGTCTCCTAAATACCCTGCCCAGTGTCAACTCAACCAACAGTACATTTTTTCAAATAATGACACAGATACTAAAAAGATTTCACAAAGTCCTTCAGATACTGCCAGCACATCCATCTTAAGATCCCTGGAGTTAGGTCTCCAAGTGTTGAAGTTACGCTGCTCTTTAGGAAGCACATTTTATAAAGATTTACAGTCTTTCACAAGGACTGAAAACACATTTGCCCAAGGGAACGTGCTCTTTGACCATAGGTGGTTGTGACTGCAGAGTCTTCACTTTTGGCAGCCTCCCTTAGATCCCCTCCTGTGGCAGCACAGACCTCCCGTGGCTCAGTACCAGAACATCATTTTTCTCAGATTCATCAGAATGAAGGCACAGGAGGGCAGCACTGTGTTCCATTCATGCTCTCTGTGAGTGGACTTGTCTTTTTGTGTGGAACAGCATTTGACATCTCCAGAAAAAGCCTGGTTTGCTACAGCTTCCTATGCTACAAATGGCTGGATGCATGCCTGCTGATGGGACTTCACTGGTGTTTAATAAAGATTTTAACCTTTTCTTCAGTTTGACACTAATCAACCTCTCTGCCTGGCTATTTGCAAAAACAGCCCGATGATCTGAGCATCTTTGAGATCACAATCATGCTTTCAAATCTGATCAGCCACTTGATTCAGAAATTGTGGGAGACAAGAGAATAGGTGCAGAATGACCTTACAAGCCTGTTCTTTCAGAATCCAGGTACACAATTAATTCTGTACATAGGCACATTATCAATTTATCACCACAAAATAACATCAATTCACACAGGAATAGAACTGCAAAGTATCTGTTAGGAATTCTGAGTCAGGAAATGTTTCCTTCCTACAGGAAATCAATCATTATTTTGGTACTGCAAAAGGAAAAGCAAAACAGAAATAGACTGATAAAAAGGCAAATATATTTCCAGTAGTGAGGATTCTATGATTTCCTACTTGTTTTAATACATTAAAATGAAGAAACAAAAACAAGGTATTAGTAGGCAGACTGAATACGAACACGCAGTTTTCCTCGTTCGGTTTTACATGTTATGAGTTAAAAAGTCTTTAGTAACCTTGCTGCTCTTCCAAATACTTAGTTTTGCAAGAAGTTTTATATTTTATATTGAAATTTTATATTTACAGAAAAAAGAAGATGCAGTAGTATGATTAATATTAGTTACACTAACAGCAGTCTATCCACTTTTAATTACCTCTGTTATTTCAAGTTCTTATTTAACATAGAGCAAGGACATCCTCTGTCTTCACTGTCAGCTTCAGGAAGCCACAGACAACACAAAGAGGCACCAGATTATGTTTACAGGAAGTGTTGAAGAAACCAGCACCAGAAACAATGTGCTGCTATTAACTGTGTGTAGCTTTAGAAAAGTAATGGAAAATTAAAGGTTTGATATTCTATGAAGTGACATTTAAAACTTGCATCTCTCCAGTGATGTGAAGGTGTAGACTATGAGAAAGGGTTTTTTGTTATTGTTCTGTTTGTTTGTTTTTTAAAGAGTCCAGAGACTGCCAGAAATAACAACATGACAGTGTTGAGGAAGGATCCACATTTTGTGGGACACTTTGCTTAAGAAAAAAGGTTCAGACCTGTAATTGTTTGTTTTTTCTCCATAATTTGTCAGCATAACTCACAGTATGTTACATGCTATTTATAATGATACTTAGCTTACGTGGCTAATCCTGCTCCCTTTAAAACCATTGCTAAGACTGCTTAACTCTAATTCATTTTTTATTCTTCCTTCCATAATTACGTATATTTTTCCTGCTCTTAGTTGAGATAAAGTGTTCCCTCAACCACCTTAAGGCACTTCTACGTAAAATAACAAACTTACAAGTTTTCCCACTCTCTGAAAGCATGGAAGAGGAAAAAGTACAGGCAGTTAACACCAAATTCAGCAGAATTTCTACAGTATACGAACTATATATGATTTCCCCCTAGAGCAAATTTGATTCCTCACTGCTTTTATTGCCAAGAAAAGTCTGTAACCTTGTCAAGTATGCAAAGCTGGTGGGATGAACTCTTCATGCAAGATGCAATACATCAAGAGATCACAGGATATTCACATATTTTTATACTTAGCCACCACAAGCTTTACTTCTAGCTATTCAGGTGGTACACCCCTAGTAACACTAAAATGGTTCTTTATGTCCATGCTCTTTCAACAATAAATCCATCTTAAAGGGCTTTAATCACAAACATATTCTATTCAGTCACTATCATCATCCTCACAGCCTCTTCTTTGCTGCGTTAAACATCCATATTTGACGTTAGGTCAGTGAAGTTATCAGTCTTTTATCAATTGCCATTAGATCCGTGAAATTATCAGTCTGTTTTTTTAAGAGTGCATTTTGTTAATGTATTTGGGAGGCAGGAGGAAAGTCAGAATAGGCTTTAATGTCTCTGGTTCAGAATTGACTATATCAAGAAAAATACTGAGGCATGTGTGCCAGATTTAATGTTAGAGATTTCTCAGGAGGCTAACTGCTGTCTTTTCAGTCAGGTCTCAGTGTTTCCTGTGCAAGTCTAAATCAAGGATTAGAAGGAAAAACACAATAAACTCAAAGCACAACTAGACCTTCAGGAGGTGCACACCACTGACTCTGACAAGACTCACGGTTTAATGCTGATGAGATCTCTAAAGCTTCCCACAGCACTGCCTCGGTTCCGCTTCTCAGCATCACATTTCTCTTTCGTCCAGGTCATCTGAATGTTCTCAGGCATAGTGTCCCCCTCATCTTCTTCATCTGAGTACAAGCTTTCCAGACGTGCTATTGAATGTCTGTCCTTTACAAGCTGAGCCTAGAAGGCATGTGAACAACAAGGTGAACTCGAGTTTGTTTTACCACTTACGGTTCTTTCTAAGCAATGAAAGACTTTTTGTTCTATTGCATCTTTTATTGCATGCAGTCAATTTAGTGCCAAGGACAGCTCAGATGCTAAATGACTGCCCTAACTAAAAATCCTACATAACCTAACTGACTTTATTTAGATGATTATGAGCCATGCAGAATTCAGTCTAACGGATGCATGTATCTATACAATAGAAAGGAAAAAAAGACTTTCTATCTCACATCATGACATGATCTGAAACAGCCAGCGTTTGACACAAAATTGATGACAAAAAGTTGGACGAATGCATGCACAAAAATAAGACTGAATACTTCAAAGGCCAACAGTCCAACTTACAATGAAGCTTCCAGTAGGAAAACGGGTTATTCTATAAACTGAGACAAGCCTCAGACATCCCACATAAAGCAAAAATCAACTGGGTTCAGACTTACATCCTCACATCACTGAGCATCATTTGCACTGCAAACAGGAACACATAAATTGTTTCTGCAGCTTATATGCTGCCATTGTTTTTTCCTAAAACAAACTATTTCTAACATGGGTTTGCATGTGCAGCAAGGCTGTTCAGTGACAACAAGCAATTCAGGGAAACAAAAAGCTACACTATGTGTATTTCCTTTTAGCTTTAGAATACAGGAGTTTAATTTAGAAGCAGCTATTATAAAACACCACCAGGAAGGCACTGCGTCATCCACCTCAGCAGCCCATAGTAATCACCACAAATGACATACCTCCCTTTCCCGCTCTGTTTTTGTCAGCCTCATTTGCCTCAGCATCTGAGACCTCTGCTCCATCATAAGAGTTCTCTCATAAGTATATGCTGAAATATCACTATTTTGCTGCAGAAATAAGAAAAAAAATATTGCTCTCCAGTCATAATCAAACACCATCATTTCCATCACAAAGTGAAAAACAGACTCAAATAATCCCTTACCATTTCCACCACTTCTACCTCTGCCTCTATTCGGAGTTGGTAGAGGAAAGTAGCCAAATCCTTCTTCATCTGGATGCTGTTGTCATCCATCTGAGCCACAGTAAAAATTCTCATCTTGCATTTTCTCCAAACCTGGTGAGGGAACACGAGCTCTCAATCTATTTGTTTTAATAGCAATCTGCTTTATGAAATGAGCTTACCAATATAACTACTGTCGTTTATCGCTGCAAGCAATGCTACTGGACCTTTTTTCTTTGCAGTAATGCATACTAAAGTAATTGGTAACAAACATTCTTTTTCTAAGCTCCTTACTTTGTGCTGTTTGAGTAGAAAAGGAAGAAGCATCAACATGCCTCCATCATGCACAATCCACCACACATCAATGTTGCCTTCATTGTAACGCTCATGGTTGCTGGGATAGAAAGACACATTTTTGGGAACCAGCAGAGCCAGATGGGCTGCAGTTGTGCAACGAACAGTACCTGCCAAGAGGGGAAAGAACAAACAATTACCTCCAATTCTGCCAAAGTCATCTATAGTAAAAAAAAACCAACAAGCAAACAAACAAAAAAAAAAACACTCATTAAGCAAATGTCAGTAAACCATAAAAGTTATCACTTACATGAAGAAAAGTACATAATGGAAGGCTTGCACAGACACATCAGACAAACAATGCAGCTAGGATGAAATAGACTTATAGGAACACAAGCCCTATTTCATGTCTGAAATAAAGGCTGTGATCTTCAAAGCTAAATACAAGGAAGAAGCAGATGTTCTAATTTGTCTGTTAAGTAATTGGACTATCTGAGACATCAGGAGAATGACAGTGATAGAGCAAGGGCAGTGCTAGCTCCCATAATAAAGATGACTAGATTAGCACCTGTGGAAAGAGATTATCTAGGTAAAAAATAATAGTTTGCCACCAAAACTGTATCTCTGAAGTCAATCGTTTTGAAGCATTCATTAGAAAGATTAATTTTAACTGCTAAATTAATCTTTGAAAAACTTTCGTAGGCCTCCTGGCTACAAAAAATGATATTTCAAATATAAATCAGTTTTGTAAGAAATCTTCTACAGACAATTTGCTTATTGCTTTGTCTGAAAGCACAGACACACTTGCCCCTCTCTCTTCAACCACATCAGCTGGTCTCACATGGAAGATTTTAATTCCTTCATGAACTTAGCCTCACTTGCTGTATTTACACCTTTTGAACATAAATCCAAAGGCTTCAGATTACCACATTTATTTAAAAAACAAGCAAACAACCCAGCACACACCACCCCAGCAATACCGTGTAAGAATATGAGACCACTTTTATTTTTTAAGACTTAAGCTTTATTAACTCAACATGAAGTTCATGATCAACAGAAGAAACAAAAACTGTTAAAAAATAAATACATTTCACAAGGATTCTGTTAAAATCCCCAGTGTGTAATGTATTTGCAATAAAAATCTTGGTGCACAATCTCTGGTCCCACAAACCTTCAAAACTCACCTATAAACGTCTTCCATGACCTTGGATCTTCACTTTGCCTCCATCCATACGGCCATCCCAAAACCACAGTATTATGTTTCATGCCACCGAGCCCACAGGACTGGATCAAGTGGGCAATTCCTTCCCGAACTTTATTGGCTACAACTACTTGACAGAATCCTTTCACCTTTTCAATGTCCATCATATTTTTAATAGTCTGGAAGACAGTCAAGGAGAAACCTCATACAGAAGAAGAATTCCATGTCTTTGTCTATCATTTGATTACAGAGTACATTCCTGATTCATGTGATTCACGTTCTATGGCAAAGTTCAGCTCAATCACTTTCCTTAATAAAGCAGAAGAGAAAATGCCCACTCATTGTATATAATCTATACCAAAGCACAGAAAGTTCCCTTCCAAACACAATTATTCCCAAGACAAAGCAAGCTTCTCTTTTGCACTTGTGCTATAATCTCTTACTCATAATAATTGCAGCAGTAAGCAATATCTGTTCCTACACCACTTTCCATTTTCTAATCTTAAAACATCCACCTTTTTAAACACCCAGTTAATTACCTCCACTTGGATTTCCAGTTTCAGATATCTTTATGCAGTTTGATGTGTTATTATATTCATTTAACACATACATGCACTAAATCCCCACTTGAATCCCACAGACATCCCACACAAGAATTCCATGCCCCCTATTTGTTTAAAAATTAAACTCGCTCAACCTGTAGGCCTATGAATTCATTTTTCCTTTTTTAACAGTGCTCCTATACAAAAACCCTTTGGGGAAAACAACGATATGCAGATAAGACACAGATGAAAGCAGGCCTATGATATCAGGTTTACACAGTGAGAAGGATTAAACGATTTATTAACAAATTTTCAAGACCATCTTTTAATGCTTTTTGAGATAAATTTATCACCGTGCAGAAAGAAATGCAGTACATCAAGAGATCACAATAATAATTGAAAGTCACTGAAATGTTTCTTGTTACGTCAAGAAACTAAATAGTCATCTTCCCTTCATTAATCAACATAGATAAACTTCCAGATTATATTTTCTATAAATTAAGACAGTTATATGCAGTCAGGCTTCTTTTACAGGTGGAAAGCATTCATCTTATTTTTTTCAAAGAAAAATAAGCTGAAATGTTTGCAAGCCCTTTAACAAACAACTGTAGCACTACTCAGCTTGTCCTGTATCTCATGAAAGTCTTACTGATATGCTTTTTGCCATGAAAGATTAAGAAATTCCTTCAGGGACTGATTTAGCACACTGACCTGTTCAGCAGCCTGGGCTTCTCCATAAGTTTCCAAGAAGTTCCCTTGGATGACTGATCCTATAATAGTCAAACCTTTGCCAGCTTTCAGCTGGGATGCAAACGTTAACAATCTTGGGTATTTTACATGCAAGTCTTCATCAAGTTTCAAAAGCACCAGCAACTGAGGTCTGGAGAAAATGGAAAGAGAATTAATTCTTTTATTAATAAATTACAAAGACACTTCTGAAAAGCTGCCTTATTCATCACTTTAATTGTGCCTGAATATTAACTCTGATAACTACACTCTCTCCCCTCCATTAGGAGGGCTTTAATTAATAATTTATTTCTCTTGATTCAAAGCAGATTTGAGGCACTGAGGGAATTGTATTGTTTTGACAGTCATAAAACCCATTCATGTACTTAGCTTAAGAGATTTTCATTAGTGTCTTATTACATGGTTGATTTTTCAAGGCTCTTTTAAGCACAATTATAGTACATGCTTTGTGAGAAAGGCTGTCCCTCCAGATCTACCCTGTGCCAAAAGTTTGGGAAACATGAATGTTTTTATCATTCTGCTTTTTGTCTCTTAAGATATTTTTACAGAGTAGTTACATTATTCTCCCTCTTAAGTTAAGATTAAGCAAGTTCAAAAAGACTTGCAGACACTTTTTTTTTTTTTTTTTTTTTTTTAAGGGAGATTCCTACTTCTCCTGTTCAGAGCCTGACAAGAGTTGTGCAACACAACTCAGAGGAGAGTTCTGTAATCTGGCTTAACATACAAAGTCAGAGGGAAAAACGTTGGCCTCTCTTTCACTTTTTAAGCCTTAAATGGTAGCAGTGACTTCTTCATGCCCTCAGCAAATTACAGTAGGCCTCTGGAACTCTGCACGTGGCAATCTTAACAGGTTCCATTTCTGAATAGATATTCTGGGCGTTTAAATTCAATCACACAGATCCCCAAAATCTTGCTTGGAATCCAATTTAATACCTCGTGTGTACATAGACAATCAAATCAGTGCAATCTACTAGTTTAAAATGAATACCTCCAGTTCTTTGTGTGTGGAGGACCCTCCTCCAGTCTGAGTAAGGCATATCTTGCAGCACTGAGTGAAAGACCCCGGATACCATCACCCCATTCCTTCTCTGCACTGTGAAGAACACACAGTTTAGCCATCATTCAGTTTTATGAGCATTTAAATGCACATTCACAATCACGACACAGAGAAATTATTACCTTATGAGTTCAACACTGTGATGCACAGCATGCATCACATGCACATACGTTTATCCATGTGTGATGCATATCACATGAGCAAAATGCAAATATTTCAGTCAAATGCGTAGGACACCACCTTCCTGCACTGAATTTGTAATCAACATCTCCAGAGGTTTCCCAAGCATAAACAGCAGGCATTTCAATATTTGTTAAAATCAGGTTATACAACATTACTACAGCCAGATTCAAATCAGAGATTAACAGTCTGCCTTCAGCTGTTCTGGGCCTGAAGCAGTTGTGTGTGGTAAATGAGAGGAAAAGTCCCCAACCACGGTTTCTGCTTCTTGTGACCCACATATGTAATCAAACATCTTCAGAGACTTAACAAAACACACCCCTAAGATTTCAGTGGCTTTCAATTAGTACTGACACAGTAAAATAAAGAAAATATATATATATATATATTGCTAAGAAAAACCTCTATTTCACTCTCTGGACCATGCCTTTCACTAACTGAGGTATAGGCTGGAAATAGTTAATAACTAACACAGCCAGTCTTCTTCCTACCATTTCCTATTCAGTTAATACTTACCCTTGATATTCAATGTACTTGTAAATCATTCCTGCAATTAGCATAGCTACCAAAGCATAATACCAAGATGAAATGAACATCAGTGCCAGGCAAATACTCATGCCTAAAAATGAGAGCGCCCTAAAACAAAAAGCAAAGATATTAGTGAGCAGTGGGATAGAAAAGCAAATGAATAAAGAAATACTAACTTCAGTTATTATCTCGCCCCTTTTTCTTTAAATATTCTATCTGAAGTGCCAATGAATATGACTTCCTGGGGATCTCCTATGTCTCCCACAGTTTTAGTATCCTGTTGTAGGAACAAAACTCATTCCATTAATTATCTGGGTCTGATTCACTATGAGTATTACATTGATGTTCCCTTGTCTAAATCCAATATCCAGAAAAGAGAACATGTCCACAGCTCTCATGGAGAGGATTCTCCCCAGATCCACGCTGTAGATCACAGACCAGGTGCTGAGCACACTGGCCATTTGCTTACCAGTGATAGTATTTAAATCGGGGCCGCCAGTTTGGAGTTCTAAGAAGCGTTTGTACTGCACATGCTAGATTAACAAAGAGGTAACACATCAAGAAAAACCTGCAGGAACAAACATATAACATCAACAACACTCTTCAGCATACACATTGACAGACTATAATAACATGGATTATTTACTATCGAAGTATAGTTTTTTAATATATATAGTTTTTATTAGCCTGAATTATCAGTGTACAGTTCTTAGAATTTCTAATTGGACAAATCTAAACGTATCTGCAACATCAGCCCTGTCTTTTACAACATTCTGTATTGGAAATAATATTTTCCCAAAGAAAATATGCCTATACCAAAACCACGTTTATTCACAGAACATTCCAGAACTGCAACAAATAGATTTATATTAAGAGCCACAGGTTAGAGAAATAATTAAAAAGGAACTCAGGCTCCAGTAATTTGTTTTACCAGTTTAGGATATGGTTATGACATACAATCAAATTAGTAAAACCCAAACGCATGTTTTCTGTGTTTTGTTTTAGTTCACCGTTTTTTTGTTTGTTTTTACAGTAACTGTCCTGCTTCTTACATTGAGAGAATGGGAGCCACCATGTCAAGGGAAGCAATAAGAATTCCCAGCTCAGCAATTAATGCTGTTAATAGAAGAGCCCATGTTGGTTCGCCGTTTGCTTTGCCATGACCAAAAACCTGAAGAAACAGAAAGATTTGCAACTTTCACCATTAGATATCAAGCATATTTTCCACATATTTCGTAAGTATAAAATGAAAAAAAGGCAATCTGTTTAGAGAAACTGTAATAATTTTCTTAACACTTTTTTCCCTATCTAAAAAAGAGAGTTAATTATAATGGCTTTCTCTGCTTCATCAAATTAGATGTGAATGTTCACAAAATGACCATATAGGCAAATTCAAAGTCCTTTAAAAATATTCCAGTTTTTAACAAAGGAAAACAGAGTATGGGGAAAAAATATATATATATTGACCTTCGCTTCAATGCTGGGAAAACAAATCTTACTTCCAGCAGCACAAAGTCAAATCACTAGCTAGTTACTATGTACAGAGAGTCATTTTTTACACACGTACCCAGAGGAAAGGAATAATGTTGTCCTTTGCTATTGCCTGCAGCAACCGGGGGGCTCCGGTAAGGCTCTGCAGACCTGCTCCACAGGTGGAAAAGAAGGACCCGATCACAATGACCCACGGAGAGGGCCATGAAAGGGTGCCCACCACTAAGTTCTTGTTCACTGCATCGCCGTACCTGCAGAGAGGAACAGCAAGACACTGACATTTAAAGGAGTATTTTGATACTCATGTTCAGTCTTCTTGGTCAGTTCTAAAATGTCATTTAAATATTAACTATCAGATATTCTCTGCAATGGGAAATATAGAAAGGAGCAAAAAAATAATCTCAGTTACTTCTAATACACAGCTAGCAAACATCCATAACCCAATTTCAGCAATTTGAACTTAGAATTTTTTTTATTACTTATTGTAAAATTCTTACTTCATTGCCAGTATGCCATTTCATACTTGCATTGAGAAAGATCTGCATTTCTTAACAACAAAAAAAATGATTTTGAAAACACTCAGCACAACCCAGCGTCAGACAATCCTACAGGCAGATTTAGTGCTTCTATTTGGTAGTTTGGCTTGTTTGCTTTTCCCCTCAGACTTAGTTATATTCACATGCACTTCCCTGCTTGTCCACAGGCATGAGACAATCAGTGTGAGAGAAGTTTTAAAAATAAAAAGTACCTGTAGACTGCTATTGGAAACACCGTTATGTGTTAACAGACAAAAATGTTAAATAAATAATCTAGGGGCAGAGTTAACCAAATATTAACCTTTATCCTGTTATGGATGTCTGGTTGGGTTTCTTATTTTGGTTTCTGTGTGAGAAACATACAACTATGGATAAAAGTGACCCAGAGATAAAGGCAAAAAAAAATAATAATAATAATTAAAGGAGATGGGTGGGGGAAAAGCAGCACTCCTTGCTAAAAGGAAAAAACGTACAGTATTAAAGCAGTAAAGCTTAATGGTTACTTACTTATCTCTTAGGACTACACCTTCTATGCAGGCTCCAAATAACAACACACAACTGAAGTCTTGAGTACAGATCGTGTTAAGGAAGCAGGATTTATTCAGACATGGCAGATGAAAACTGGAAAGTATTGGGAAAAGTTCACTATCTGCCTCCGTCCTAAAGCATTTGTACTACAGTATTTCCACTAGTAAGTAGATTAACATCCCACTGCTCATATATGCTTTCTAATATAAGTGACAAACAGTTACTGTTCTAAGTTTCAATTTTTAGAATAATATTGCTTGAAGTGTTACAATAAAGGTGATAACCTTCTAGGAAGTAACTTGCATGTAAACATCAATTTCATCTACAACTAAAGAACATAAAATAATATTAAAATACTTTTTCCTGCTTCTTCTCTTATGTCTGAAGATATTTTGAACAGCTGGCAAATAATTACCTGGCACTTTCTCATGTTATGATCTCTGAGGGCAATTCACATCACCAATAAGTCTTTGAATATGTGTTTTGTTGTTAAACTCTACTATTTCTGCACTGGGAAGTATAACATAATTCAGTTTTCTTGGCTCTAGCATTTCAGGAAAGGTTTTGATCTGGTGACTGAAATTTAAATGTTTAGATCATAAGCTCTACTTCCATCTCTGAAACACAATTAAAAAATACAAAGTATAAGAAAAGAAGAAACACTGTTTTCTCCTAGAAATTATGTGCAAGCTTTCAGCTGGGTGGTGTAATAATATTTATATGTGAGATTATTCTCTACGAAACTATTTAAGCTTGGTCACACGTGTGACCTGGTTTAGTAGGTATTACACTCAGAGGAAACATTTTTGTTGTTTGTTGGCTGTTTGGGTTTTTTATTTGCTTTTTTGTTTTTTAGTACAAGGTCAGTTCCAGTAATAACATCTGGAAAAGTCAGCTCCTAAAAAGCTGGGATCCTGACTGACAGCCTTGCAAGGGCTGGCAGAAAACACAGTTTCAAAACAGCAGAAGATCCAGGAGAAGCACCTCTGCAGCCAAACCCCCCTTGGGAGCATTTATTTAGAAAGCTCTTAAAATTTTATTTTGAAGGTTTTACTCATTAGTGTTTTTTGTTGGTGGTGGTTTCTCATTTTGGGGATTTGTTTGTTTGCTTGGGGTGGGAGGTTAGAGGAATGGGTTGTTTGGCTTTTTCAGAGTCTCCTATCTTGATGAATTGAGGTTTAGGAAATCAATGGCTAGCTGAAGCTGAAAGACATCTCTCTAGCAGGAAAAAAGATTTTTAAAAAGACAGCTTTTCCTAAGCAAAGCTGCCATGGCTCCATACACAGAGCCTCAGATCTTCAACTGGAACAAAATCTGTTCCTGTGAACACACACTCAGCAGCTAGAAATCCAGAGTGAGGGACATCCTCATCATTTGCAAATAAAGTGCTCTGTTCTCACTGGAAATTATGAGTCATTCACGGCGACACAGAGCTTACTTCTGAGTACAGCCATTGTACAACTTCCACACCTGCCAGCAGGGGATGTACTAAACAACTAGACTCTCTCTCGTTTGTCTTGTCTTAAAGTGCTCTAGAAAGCATACACTACTTTAAGTCACTCAAACTAAAAAGACATTAAAGGACCTGAAATCTATGATTTCTGTGGTTGAAGCTTTCCCTCACCTTATCAGTCCACTACATCCTAAGAAAAATATGAATCTGTATTTAACCAGTCTGAAAAGCTACAATTATGTAGCAAAGAAAAGCAACTAAAATACAAAAGAACAAAACAAAACACACACAAAAAAAGGAGTTGGAAAACCATAGGATAGCAATTTAGATGCTTCCAGCACAAGGACTTTTTTTCTTGTTGGAGACCAACCATACTCACAATAATTTAGTCACCTGAAAGCAGTTCCACAAATCAGATACATAAGCACTCACGTGAGTCACTTGCAATGCACTAGGACTGATTTTAAAAGGATACAGACTAATGATGTGGTGACGATAGCAAGAATCGTTCCAACAGGAATGGATTTTTGTGCATCTTTGAGGTCCCCTGATCTGTTTGAACCAGCCATGATGCCTGAAAATACATTATAGACATAAGATCAAGGTCAGAGACCCACAGTGCCACTTTCCCTAATATTCTCACCTGTCACTGATGGGAAGAAGATGCCAACCAGCACCATGAATGAAGTAGATATATCTGAAAGCACATACAGATGAAAACTGCTCTTCTGGCCTGCTACATCAACAGAGGGGTGATGTGCTTTCTCCAGTATCTCTCCTTTCTCCAAATAATTGCTCCATAAGTTGTCTTCAGCATCATCATCACACCACAAAAAAGAAAAGCATATTTCAGTTCAGAGTTGTTCTCATTGCAATAAATCCACTACTGAAGATTACAAATGTAATGCATGCAATTCAGTGAACAATACAAATTAAGACATGCAAGTTACGGGAAAGAAAATTTTTATTTCACGCTTTCAAAAACAAAACAAAATTAATAAATAGATATGAATGGTCAACAGAAATCTAAGCACATTTTATCCTCTAAAAATTACTACATGTAACTTTCTTTTAGCTTCATACCGATTTTAATCCCCAGAAATACACTAAGCCTTTTTAATGGGTCACTATATCCACTATACACACAACTGCAAATTAACAGCAGCAATATTTACCAGAGATCTGGATATATACTGGTTTGCTCTTTAGATGGGGGAAAACATGGAATTATGTTGTTGGCATTTCAAATTTCACTAATAAATGCTGAATCCATTTTAGCAATCAGACTACTGGTCCCTTTGTAAACTGGAACCTTAAGTGCTCAGCACCAGCACACAGCATCTGTTCTCTAGCATTCATTTCAATACTGAAAGCTTTTCAACAATATTACATTCAGGACTGGGCAAAGAAGGAGCTAGACTATTTTTATACAAGTTATATATTTTTATGCCACACCTTTTAAAATGCCACTAGCAGCTCCTGGAATGCCTGCTATCTCTGTAACATTGTTCAGTAGGAAGTATTCATCACAGTTCTCAGTGGTTAAGTTTGTATTGTGGCAGAAGTTCTCCCAAAGCTTAGAAGCCACGGTGATATTATCCTTAACTATGGTTTTGGCACAAACATCAAACTGATCTCTGATCAAAGTCCTGTTGCCCAACATGCAAATTCTGGAAGGAAAATGTAAAAAACAGCGTTATTATACAGCACCTACAATATGAAATCTGCCTTTCTCCATCACCCCCCTTTCACACAGTGGAAGCTTCAAGTGGCTCTAGTTTTCTACATTATTTCTCAGCTTCAAAAAAATGGTGGTAGCAGAAGAAGACGATGCATCTGTTTAGCTTGAAGGTTGGATGTTTCCACCAATTTTGGGAGATGTGTAAAATTGTGATTTAATGAATTTGGCAACAGGGATAAATTTATTTATTAAATAATGAAAGGGAAACATTACGCAACATTTTTATTTTCATTTTAACAGAACTGTAGGAATGGAAGGTACTAAGAATATCTGAAGATAATTCAAAAGACGATATACCAGTTTCTGAGCAGCAGCACTAAAGTGACCCCTGACATTTTAGCTTCAGACTTAGAAGTATACAATTCAGTCACAATTAGAAAACGTTCTCTTTGTCAGAAGATAATATTTATCTCTCCTGGAATCATCCAGTTCCTGCTGTAATTCACCTCGCCACCTAAGTTTATTCCAGCATTCAAGATTTTTAACACACATCTCCAAAAATGGTTCCACAGACAGTGTGATACAACATGAATAACAGCTCACTGCCACTGAAGTCTATTCAGCCTCTCTTCCCATTGCTATAAAATGCTCAATGAGAGCAGCATGGGGGTGAAAATTTACTATTTTCTGCCATTTTAATAAGTTGTATTAGTTCACAGATCTCAAGTACTCAAGCCAAGAAAATGGAAGACACAAGGCCATTTCTTTAGGGTTTAGAGCCTTGGCCTCCTGTATAAAAGATAAGCACAATATCCAGTTATCGCCGTAACAGACAAAGGAGTACTGCCCAATGAAGAGTGACAGGGAGAACATTCAAGAACAATACAAGAGGTAATGAGGGGAAGTAAAGACACTATTTTTTACAGCTGTGAACCTGCCACTGTTGTAAGTTATTATAATCATTGGGCCCTAAATATCTGAAGAGAGCACTTGAGGATTGTGACTGCTCAGTCACAACACTGAAACGTAAATAATTATGCGGTCTCAACTCCTCTATTTCCACATTCCACCTCCTGCCAGCAGTATCAGGAAATACTGTTTGCATTTCTGGTAAAACGCATGCATACACATTACTGCTGCTTCAGCTCTGAGTTTAAGAAACCTTATCACGAGTTTAACAAGCCAAGGGACATACTTCCAGAGCAGAGCTTCTCATGCAGTAAACTCAATTGCTTTTAAATTAAGGGGAGCTTCAGCATGAACTCATCGTACCTCCCTCATTCCCAAGAGATGTTCTACTTCTGAGGGAGCAACTGCAATACACCACCACAGTTTCCAACCACAAAGGCAGCACATCATTTCTTACTGGCCAGGGGAAAATGGAGCTGCCACGCTCTTCCTTGTTGAGGAGGATTGCATAAATTCTTGCTTGAAAGTAACTCAATAGCTGTAGGCTAAGATACTGCATTGTCTTTGTGGGAAGTAGAGAAATGTCAACCTCCATCAATCTAGTACACTCACAAGACTTAATTCTACTGAAACAGTTAAGGAATGTGACATTATTTTAGCCCAAGGAATTTCTATTCCATGAGTTCTGCCTATACTATGCAAGTATATATTACTATATACAGTTAAAAAATAATCTGAAATAATTTACAAAAAAAGAAACTTTGACAATGTATGAGGATAAAGTTTTAAGTAACTTCCACTGAATCCCATCTTCCAAACCTGTAGTCAAAGCTATACCCCACCAAGGAAGAAATATTACTCACGGAAATTCAGGTGGATCAAAGATGGACTTGATAGCTCCAGCATAAATGGATAATATGGATATTACTACGCAGGCCAAGAAGAGGGAAGCAAATTTGTTAACATATTTCACACCTACAAAGACCACCACTGCCATTAAGATGAGGAATACAGTTCCATACACCCTCATGTTGTTTAGCATAGCACTGGATGCATCATGGGCACCGGATGGATAAAAAATTGCTGCTTGTGGCACAATATATGTCTGAAATAAGAAGAAAGCAAGCTGAAGGAGCACAGAAACAGAACTCTGTCTATACTACTGTAGTAATCTTGTTCCCATACCAAAAATGTTTATCACTGCAGCATGCTCTTCACCAGGAACCATCCTTGAGTTTACAGGAAAAAACATCAAGGGCTAATAAGCCTATTTCAGTGGGGCAACTGAGCCAATGTTATCAATGACGAGCATGTGTCTTTAATTTAGTCACGCTTTCATCCACATTTTCAGTAGACTTTGCATTCTAGGTATCCATAGTGTGTGTAACTTTGAAAGGTCAACACTGACCATAGTGAATTAGAGACCTTCCAGTCTGATTTGTGAATGTGTATGCAAATATGGGACAAGAATACTGCAGTATTTTCTGCCAGCTGTCTTAAAATCATGACTATTCCAGTATTACTCACCAATAAAATCTCAATGGCACCAAGAATGTACATCGCTCCTGCAAATGTTGTTCCCAAATAAAAGCACAGCCCTACAGCTCCACCAAACTCTGGGCCTAATGACCTGGATATCATGAAATAGGAGCCACCAGCTATGAAACAAGAGATGCGAGAGCAAAATTGTCATTTCCTGATTACTACAACAAAAATGTAACAAAACTATAGTGCATATCTGCTTTTCTAAGGTTTCAATTAAATCAATTTTTTATCAGTACAGTGATAAATAAAAACAAATATTTTGCCTAACTGATACTGAAGAGAAATACTAGATATTAATTCAGGCTCTGTATCCTGACTTAACCAAATGTATCTGGAATAAACCATGTTAATAGCTTACAGCAACATTTTTTTCCACTAATGAGAAGTATCAGACTACACTTGCCTGGAACAACACCGTTTGTAGCAATAGCACTCATTGATATGGTTGTCAGCATAGTCTGCAAAAACAAGAAAAAGGAATTAATAGGGTCAACAACACTATTCAAATTTTAACTTATTTCTTGGTAGAGTAAACCTGCCAAAATATTTCTATTTATTCTGCCTTGACAGGTCATTATCCGAAAGAAAACAAGAGTTAGCAGGAATTTAATCATCATGCTGTTAAGTCTTTTGCCTAAGAAATGTCTGTTTTATCAGGTCAAACAATGGCTGTCTGCAGACAAAGCACGGTAACAGAACAGGCCTCACTCCCTCTGCAGATCTGAAATTCTGGCAAAGGCTTCCGCAGCAAGGCAGGCAGTCTGAGACAGACACAGAAAAAAACTGCAGAACCAACACCATTTTTTTTTTTTTAAACTGTATCTACACTAGAAATAGTTTGACAGTTTAGAAACATTACCACACAAATTAAAAATAAAAATAAAAATCACATGCCTATCAAACAAAGCAGGAGAGCCTAGCATAAACCTGGCTTTTCACTACACACACATCTACAAAGAAGCCTCTCAAGTTCCTTGACAGTTTCACAGGGGTTACATGCCAGGCATTGTTTTAGCTATGTACTTACACAGCAGCAGCAGAGTAATACAATCAGGAAGGACTGAAGAACACCAGCCATTCCTACCATCCAAGTCAGCCGAAGGAAGAGAATAACCCCAAAGATGTTCTGCATGCAAGGTAAATACACTCCCATCAGGGTGCCCATGCTGGGTGACTGGAAAAAAAAAAAAAGTACAAAGCATTCATTACCTGGAATTATTCAAAGCATAGGTAATCAAGATCATACAACTTCAGTTTCTCAAATGACACAAGGGAGATGTACACTTTTACACAATTGCTACTGTCCTCCACTTCCACAAAATAAAGCAAACTGCTAATAGTGAAACCATCAATTCATGAACAAATTCACATCCACCCTACGAAGACATGGGCTGGCTGAGAGAGCTGGGGCTGACCTCATAGCAGCCTTCCAGTACTTGATTGATGCCTATAGGAAAGCTGGGGAGGGACTTTTATAAGGACATGTAGTGATAGGATGAGAGGAAATGGTTTTAGACTGGAAGAGGGTAGATTTAGACTAAATATTAGGAAGAAATTTTATACTGTGAGGATGGTGAGACACTGGAACAGGTTGCCCAGAGGGGTTGTGAATGCCCCTTCCCTGGAAGGGCTCAAGGCCAGGCTGGATGGGGCTTTGAGCAACCTGGACTAGAGGGAGGTGGAACTGGATGATCTTAAAGGTCTCTTCCAACCCAAACCATTCTATGATTCTATGATCTTCACATTTGCAATTATATTCAGCATTTAACATCAATTATTAACAACTAAAAATAGATTTGTTTCATTGTAGAACCAGGGAGTTTTTATGATGAAACCAGGTGAGGGCTGCAGACTCACAGTAGGATAGATCCTATCTTACTCCTAGAATTCAAAACATAGCTTTGTGTTATAAGTACAAAAGATTATGAAGCAATGTAGAGAAATGCATAATGTAGTTTTTTTCATTCTGTATATTTTACATAAATCAATGATTCTACCTTTCTTCTGCTTAAATCCTTTTAGCATCAGACTCTGAATTACTTTTGATAGTGACTGAGAAAATGTAAATCACTCAGGTGACTTCACAGGAACTCCGCACTGCTGGCATTTGACATGGCATCTTACAGAATTCTCTTTACCTTTACCAAACACTGATATCAAAGTGTTGCTGGTAAGGATTTTATTTCAAGGAATAGAAATGTTTTCTCCATGGAAACACAGAAATTCAGAGTCCCAAATTTGCTGTGGTTTTTTGCCAAGGTTTGCCACTGCTTCCATTTTCTAAGGTTTTCTTTTATATTTAAATTACAAAGAATGCAGAAACAAAAGGGGAATGTAGAGCAACTCCTAAAGACTTCTCCATTTTCATACTTTTTCCTATAAAAAAACTTGAATTCCTAAACATATTACAGATGAGTAGCATCTAAGGAAATTCATGAACAACTGTCTGAACTACAAGGATATTAAAAGGAACTATTGACTCAATTTTTTGAAGCTTTGAATTCCTTCAGTGACTAAAGTTAATCAGATCAATCAGTTTCCCCATACATGCTGCAACTTGTGTGAACCTCCTGACCATTAGTTTGCAATGGACATACCAATGAGACCTACCAGAATGGGGCAAAAAAGCTGCTCCTCAGCAGCTCCAGTGCCACACTACAAAGAAGTCCCTAAAACTTCAGCTGCCATACATATAAAAATTACCATTCTATAGAACTAAAAGCTGTGCCAGGATTATGTGTAAGGATGAAAGGAATTGTCACCTTCTGACGCCAGCAGAAATGATTTCGAAATGAGTTGTTTCAGTGCTACAGTAGAGGATCTTTTCAGGCTGTTCTGTATAGTAAACCTGTTTCCTCTGGAGCCCAATCTATTCCTCCTACACAGCAAGGGCAGGTGGAGCACAGTTGTTGTATATTCCATATGCAGTTTTCCAAGCACTAGCAAAGCAGGAGAGTTTTTAGCCTATCCTTTACACATCTCTCAGCACCTTCTTCCTTTGCATACTGATTTGCCTTATTCCAGCTCACTCCTATTTGATCCATTTGGCAGATTTGCTCTACTGTTCATCATCTTCCCCTCCCTATTCATTTGAAATAGCTTCTTAACGTGCATCAAGTTAGCCACAGAGGAATAGGAACTGTGCATTAATTGCACAGTTATGAGACTACTGCTGAGTAGAGCAGCTTAGGAGATGTGTAAGAGTCTGCCAGCAGACAAAACCCAAACCACAGAATTACTAAGTGTACTTGAGGCACTTAGGACAAATTTAATACAGAGTTTACTGTGTATTTTCCTGCCCTGCGGAGTACAAAATACCACCATGAAATGATGCACAAACACTGCTTGCACCAGCCCGCTCACAGAAATATTTAACATGAGTTAAACTGCAGCGACTTAACCCTCTTTATACATTTTATAATCAGCAGCCTCCACTGGAATGAGTGAAACGAAACCTGTACTGAAGCCTCAGCAGAATACAGTCTGAAACAAAAAGGTTATAAAGTTCAGTCTCTACAGCTGTCAAACAAACAAGTTAGTTGCCTCATGCTGCATAAAGGAAATAAAGCACAGACATTTTGAGGAATGTTTTAGTTCAACTGAGAAGGGAAAGAATAATCTTGAAAAATCTCGGTTTCAATGCAGATCATGTTTCTGCGTGCGTAGCATTCACTCTTATCAGCTGTAGACATAATTGATATCAGTATTGATCTGAGTCTGAAGGACACTGTTTCCATTGTACCAGTATGACAGGTTATCAAAGCACTTGGCTGCAGGGCTCAGGGACATAGATCAGCAATGACAGCTTTTGCGGTTGCTCTGGAGCATGAGGACAGACAGCAGCACAGAAATGCACTGCCTTATTAAAGATACATGAACTGAAATACTTAATGTAATTTCTACCAAGAGAAGGGGATATTTTCACAGTGCTGTGACCAAGTGCTTTAATATAAGACTGTACTTAGGAAACATGAACAGCAATCAAAATCTCTACCCTATCACAATTTTTTTCTGATGTCTAAGACAGAATGATACAATCAAAATTATTTAATGTGAATGCTGAAACAGGGTAGCGTGTCTGTATCAAACTGCTTTCATAGAATCGTAGGGGCTTTGCACTGAAATTCTCCTCATCTTTGTTTGCACCTTCTACAAACCGTGTGAATCATTCCAAAAGTTTAGAAGGGAGGACAGTCACAATGTATTTTCCAGAGTCTGTGGAAATGTCAAGTCTCTTTTGGTTGTGTCACCTGAGAAAGCAGGTATCCAGAACAATGACCCTCACAAGGCAAAGCACATCATTCTCTGCTCATTTAAGCTTTAACATTTGGAAGAAAGTTTGTTTTTTTTTTTAAATACCTGCCACTCAGATTTCTGCACTTGAAGTGAACACAGTTTTGTGCAGTTTCTCATGCTCTCCTCTCTACTTTAAAAGGGTACAATTTGGGGGATGGTGTTGTGCTAGGTCACAAAAGGTTTTCACTGAGGGACCTGTCTTACCTGCTCAGATATACTCAGTTACAGAAAGGACTGCTCTCTTGCTTCAATTTTCAAATACCAGATCTAGAGTCTGCTAACCCTCCTCACTCCTGGTTTACAAGATGCCAATTCCAGCAAGTGACACAACAGGACAGGCAGCTCACATTTGGTCACACCAGCTGGACACATATCAGCTGAGCACACCTGACAGAATGCTCAGCAATGAATCAGTTATCAAAGCTGGCGCTCAAAACCAGAATATGCCACCTGCTTCTCATCTGTACAGTTTCGTAACAATTACAGCCTACAGCATTGTACAGTTGCTAGTTTTGAATTTTCAGTTTTTAATCATATTATTGGTATATAATATAATTATATTAATATAAATATATATATATTCTACAAGACGTTTAAACTCTCATATTGCTTAAGGCAAGATGGGGATAAGAAATTCAAGCTACTGCTATGATATTGCAATTGATGTAATTTCTCTCCGAGACAGACAAGTTAGGCAAATATTCACTTAAGGAAAATGCAGTGTTTACATTGAAAATACTGAGATATTAACACAGGATGGTACTGTCACTTTTGGAACAGTTACCCAACTCACTCTCCAGCAATCATCTGAGAAGTCTGTAAGCACACATTTTAGTAGGGCATAATTTTGGACAACCAGAAGCCCAAAGTGCATGTTACCAAAGAAGCAGAGCTTCCACAAGGACTGTGCTGCTTTTAAGTTAAAAACAACTTCTCACTTGCCTGTTATTTGCTACATTTCTTTTGTACAAAGCTATACTGTAACTTCTTTAACCAACATTGCACTAGGTCGCCAAATTCTCCTAATTCTTTCTCAACAGAAAAACAAGCAATGAGCTTTCAGATGAGACTGCATCTTACTTTGGTATCCTGGATGGGCAATTGATGAGGAAGTAAGTGGGAAAAATGCACAGAACTGTTTCAAATGGTAAGGGCTGTACCTATTTGAATCTCCCTTCATTTTACCTTTCTTAAGATAATAATATGCAAGAAGTTTTTTTTTTTTTGTCTTATGCAACATCTCCATACTAACAACTAATCTCCAGCTTTATTTCCCTCAAAAGCATGCTAAAACATAGATGCAGATAAAATTTCATATTGATTATATGAAGGTAAAAACTTTGAACAGACTCAACAGTTCATGTAATACCAAGTACCATACAAAAGCAACGGTTAAAATGTTTAAATTATTTTTTAAAAGTAAGGTTGAAGTACCAAAATCCAATTGCAGCACCTTGACAACCTTCACTCAGACTCGCAGCGAAGACATACTAACCACAATATCACAATACTTCAGCATTTGTGGTCTCAGATAAAATTCAATTTCAAGCATCATGTTGACTAAACTATCTTTATTAACTTGAGTGTAAAAACAAGCAGAGTAAGGAAACAACGTGCATAAGGGAGCTGGAATCCAGCAGTCAGCAGGGATTTACACGTTTCCTCTTTGAGAACAACAATGCTGTTGCTTCTTTCTCTGTTTGAAACCATACCACTAAAGGTTTTAGCACTAACTGAAGTGCTTGCCTGACTGCCAGACCACTAAGAACAGCAGTTAGAACACAGTGCTTGCGATAGAAATCAAACAACCAACAATCAAACCCCACCTTCAGCTTAGCTACTACAGCCAGCCCAAACAGGCTAAAGATCTCAATTCAGATCCTTTGGGGTGGAATTCAGCTGATTAAACGCCTAGCAACCACAATGATACTTGAGCTGCCCCAGGGTGCCCAATCTGACCTCCACCCACCACTCTTGAGGGGCGTTGTCTCCTACAAGCCCTGTGTCATACCTACCAGGCTCACAGATCTCAAATACTTCCAGGAACCTAAACCAGCACTATGAAAAAGCTGTGGGTTGTTTTTTTTTTTTTGGAGTTGTTGATTTGATTCCCTGCTAAAAGCATATCCTATCTATCCAAATCCATACTGGGTATATGCAATGGTACTGTAGTGCATTATCCCCAACCACTGTTTTGGTTCCAGTTTTTTTATATCATCTTACTACCTATCAATGAGCTCTATGGCATTTCTTTGCAAAGCTGTCATGACACCTTGGAACTACAGAAGTTAAGATAAAGAGGAAAGGAGTCCAAATCTCCAAAGCCACACATGGAATCACTGAGTTGATTAGCTGGCCATGGAAAGAATCTTTACTTACTTTTGATACTTTCTTCTTGGAACCATCAGTGTTTTCTGCTTCTTCATGTTCCTTAACACCTTGGGTAAGATTAGTGTAGTTGACCAGCTTGCCAAGCAGAGATGACACTTTTGGTCGTATATCAAGTTCTTCCTGTGGAAGAAGACAACTAGTCAACTTCTGTGAGTCACAGCATTGAGGGAGAGCTGCTGGGGTCAGTAAAGTCAAGGGAATCAGAAAGAATTTAATTGCACTGATGAGAGGATTTATTTTCTGAAACAAAGGCAATTCTGCTAGGAAATGGCAAGAGGTGTGCACTATATACCTCCTTCTCCTTAGGTACTGAAAAACAAATCATGTCAGTAAAGGCAAATTCTGAGCTTTGTGACTATAAGAAAATGAATACGTGCCTTATATGCATCTCTAACATCAATTGACAAAAAGAGATACACTTTTAAAGGGGTCAAGTTTACAAATAAGGCAGCAATATCATTGCAGGCATGGGTCTGATTGTTTTATTATATTTTTCAAACTATGTAATCTTATTCACGTGGATCTTTTTTTCTTTTTAAATCCCAGAAGCCACATCTGCAGTGCCTCACAGTTTTACACTCTTCCCATCCAACATCTGCTTCTGAAAGCATTTTCAAGGCCAAATCTGTGGCTTCTCCACGCAAACAAATACTTTCCTCAGACAAAGAAGAAGAAGAAAAAAAAAAGCAGCCCAGTGAAACAGCTAGCCTGCAAATAAACAAAACCAGGACAAAGTCACTCCCTTCCTCTCTCTCTCTCTGAAACTGAAATGCTTTACATGTCAAATTGCACAATATGTAATGCATGGCAAAGAGCAATTACTCTCTACACAGAAAATAAAAAGCTGATTAAGACAGATTTCATTGTCTGGAGTTTTATCGTATCTTCACGCATTGTCATGAACAGTTTCTAGGAGGATCTGATGCATAAAGCAACTCCAAACAGTTGAAAGGATGCCATGAGCTAAGTACCCCTTTTCTTACTCTTTCCTCAGATCTCATCTGTGAAATCTACAGTTTTCGTCTTTAAAAATCTGGTTATGATTACTTCCAGAAAGAGGTTGAGGTAACATGCTCCCCATTCAGTTGGGCAGCATAGCCTTTGGGGTGTTCTGTTCCTCCTCCTCCTTAGTGCTACAGAAACAGCCTGCAGTCCTGCTGTGCTACTGCGCGATTGCTTATGAGAAAAGCAGGCATGTAAGGAACAGCAGATCAAATTCCACAACTGGCCAGCCCTTCACAACCTGCAAGTGAGTTTATCCTGATCACAAATTTACTGTGCTTTGGAGGAAGGAGACACCAGAGCTGGGAGCGTGCTTCAAAGTCTTTAGCTCAAACATACTGCCATGAAAACCAAGTTGTAGCATTTCCAGGGCAGCAGGCACATAACTACGTGTTAGGCTCAGTGCCACACAGCTGAACTCTGCAGGGGTCAGCCTGCCTGGGCATGGGAGCTGAGTTCCCAGAATGGGAAACATAGGGTGCAAGTTCCCAGGATGGCTGTGAAGTCATAATTCAGGAGCTTTGCTGGAAAACAGCTGCAGAGCCATTCACGTACTCTGCACTGCTCCCCAGAACCTCAACTTCTGCAAACACCTTTTAGAAACTTGGTCTTGGCAGACCATGACATGTTTTCACTTAATGCAGTGCCAGTGGAGTGAGGAGGACGATTCTGCTCAATTTTGTATGAGTCCAGCTGGTGTAACAGCTTCTGTTTAAACTTCTTCTACTGTTTGAACTGCTCAGGTCACTTCTGCTACCATTATATTTTAGTACTTTATAGACTTAAACACACCAAAGGCTTTTAGATATCAGGTTCCCCATCAGTGAGTTAGGTACCAAAGCACCTGAACCTCTGCAATGCTCCACATTCCACTGAATGATAAATAACACGTGTTCAGTCCCTCCCAGTTTGGAAGATTACAAATCACATCAAAACTGTGAAAAACAGTCAGAAATTACCTCAAACAAGGCCAGATTTTTGTCATAGTAATCACCTCCTTTGTTGGCTTCTGAACTGTTGAGGAAAGGGCTGTTTTCTTTATGGTTGCCATGACCTGCAAAGAAAAAAAGAAATAGGTTTTGGAAAGAGCAAGAGAATTCCCAAGGAAACTTTTTAACCTTGACATCAGAAACCACAGGGAATAAACTTGTTTGTTCAACTTAATCTGTTTCTTTTTAGTTTCTAAGGTTATGCAACAGAACCTATATCAGAGCTGTTACTCTGACAGGGGAGTTTTTGCTGTTTCTGTTCCTGTTTTCAGTAAAGCAGATGAACAAGTCACCGCAAAGCAAAGCATACAAGTAGGGGCACAGCTACACCGCTGTCTGCACCTTTGTTCTCAAATGTTTCCTTTGATAACTGTTTCTCACAGAGCTGTGACGAGTCAAAAGACACTTCTTTCGCACCCAGAAATCACTACTGAAGCCAAGAGAACCGTTTAAGCACCGTGTGCAAACACACCAGGAGATCTAATGGAACTGAACAATACCAAGACCAAACTCTGTCCTTAGAATACTTGTAAATATTAACCAGAAACCTCTTTTCTTTTTCCTATTCTTTTTTATTCCCCCCTCCCCCGCCCATGCCCACTAATTTTTAGATCTCAAAACATTCTCACTTCATGAAGCCTTATCCTTACTGTGTTTTGAACACAGGCTGTGCATTCTTCACTCCTCTAATGCTTTTAGATTAAGAGCTAACATCAGATATAGTAAAAGTAAAGCATAGGACAACCTGAGAGATCAGTAGATCTTTCTGAAATAGACAGAAATTGAAAGAATAAAGGGCACAATGGTACAAAATTATCTCTGCCAAAATTAAAAAGAAAAAAAATGAAGTTGATTCCAGCAATAAGAAGTTCTCTGACCTGTGGCTCCCCTCAGAAAAATTCCTTTCTTTTGCCTATAACTCTTCCCTCCCTGCTCTTTCAGCCAATACAAACTAAGGAGATCTCCAAGAGCGTCGCCTTAAGAGAAAATCAATCCAAGGAATAATCTTTCTCTTTACAAAAACAGTAAGCACTAAAGAAATTGAAAACGAAAGGAAAAATGGATTATCTCAAATGGAAAGACTGCAAGCTAAAGTACAACTCACTGAATATAGAAAAAGCACAAGATTAAAGACCTGGATTTTTTGGTGCACGTTTTCAACAACTAAGGTTGTTGAAAGAAGGCCGTATTAAAATCATTTAGCATAACAGAAGCAAAAGCATTTCTGCATTTTGAAGTCTAAATCAACTTACAGAATTAACCTAGAAGGCAAACACACAACTCCTCCCCTACTCACATGGATCAGCATATACCACCACACTGTTACAAGTAATTGCTATGGGCAAAATAACAGGAGAAATGTCAGTGCTGTTCTTACTGAGGGCAAGTAATGCAAGGGAAGCAGCTCTGCTTGCTCGAAGCTGCACACAGGTGCTTTGAGCAAAGCTGTTAGGGGAAAACAAGAGACCACAAACAACAGATGTCTTAGTAAGTTTTTGGAAACAATCATCAAGCTGCCCATAAGCACTTGTAGATAGCAGTGCACTGCGATTATGAGCCTATTGCTTTTCTCACAGTTCTCACAACACCAGAATGTGACTTAGCACTGCCTTGCACAAGCAGGCTCAGACTATCTGTACACCCAATGCAATGTAAGAGGTATTGATGTTGCTGTATGTTGTAAAATTTCTGCATGACTTGGAAAAAACAACTGTAGGCTTAGCAACACAGTAGGAAAATAACATGTTTTTCAATTCCAGTGAGACAAATATTTACTAAAGAAACCATAATAATTGCTTGCTTGCTGTATATGTTAGGTCTTTGATTGGCAAAGAGAGCACACTAGACCAATTTTATTGCAGTACATATTGCACACTGTGCTGAAGTCCATTCTATTCTATTTTGATCAAAGCATTTGCTATTCTTGCTGAGGAAATTGAGTTACAAGTTTTACTTATGAAATTGAAAACGGATGGTCTATTTGACTAACAAAATTGAGAAGTTTAGTCTGTGCAGTACCTTCTCATTACACTTTGTTTCCTCACCTCCCGCGTACTCAGGAGGTGATTCCTTCAGTAACTCTTCTTTTTTTTAGTAAAAATAATGTTAAAAAATTATTTGACGTCCTGGATTTCTTTGTTCTTTTGTCTTACAGAAGCTGCTTATCACTGTCTGAAAAGCATAGTGGTATTCCATTACTTACAATGCTTACAGAGCATCTGTTTTGTTCTGTTTTTTTTAAGTATATTTAATCACGTTGTTGTCAAGATAAGCCATACATTCAATCCCAGATTTCCAAATAAGATGACAATTGCTTTGCTCATTCAAAATGCCAGGCCATACATTTTCATTTTACCCCACTTCAGAATTTTTCACAATTGGACTCTTCAGAAGCTCTATGCCTTTCTCAAAAAGAGCATCTGACTCCCCTCTATTCAGCATTTGTGTTTTCCAGCATCACCAAATTCCTTCCCACTCGCCTTTCCTTTTGAATTTAATTCCTTGGTGGGATTGCTGTAGGTACCTTTCCGCACAATGGAAGCCCAAACAAAGCTAACTGCAATAGAAAAATCAGTAAAACAAGTGACTGGAATTAGAGCATTGTTTTTTGCAATTGCTAGGGCATGTTTTTCTCTACGAACATTAACCCCCCCCTCAAACACTGTGCTCCATGTACTCCATTTCTAAGCATAGTAAATTTACATTCAAGTTCTGTGGAAGGAGCATCATCTTTTAATTTCACCAATATGTGGATCTGGGTGCTGCAAAGTTGTGTCCCACATCAAAAAGAGTATTATATTGAAAAGTTAAGAAAAGCTAATTAAATGTTAGCCAAAATCACCTTCACTAACAGTTGTACATTCAGTGTAGTCTCTGTCTTTCATACACATTCTAAAACATATCACCAAGCATTGATCTGATCTCCTCTAGAGATTTCTATATTCTGTTTTCAATTTCACGAGCAAAACCTACAATGGATGATTCCATTTCTTCAACAAGAATCACAAGTGTACTTTGACCAAAATAAAATCAGATGGAGCACAGCAAAGCATGTAATACAAAATAGAATAAAATACTTATCCAGTATATTTTGTTTGCCAATGAGCAATACCAGCACCTTCAAACAGACTTACTTGCATGGGAAGAGCTCGTTATCTCCGTTAGTTTTGGAAGAGAGCGGAGGTGACCTCGGAAAGACACCCCAGGGAATTCTTGCCCCAGCTTCACATGAGGATAGCTCACACTCTGAAGCATGAAGTCTCCTGGACAAGCACCATCTCGTGACACAGGTACTGTTTTCCACATTCTTAATTACTGAGCCTTTGGTCTTGGACGGTAGCTATGCAGTGCTAGTTTTCATGATGCAAGATTGTTTTGCAAGGAACATTTCATAAAGAGAGAGCTACATATTCTGTAACAGAGAATAATTTATTTGCCTTAATTCCTAACTAATTTTTTTTAATTGTTATTATTTTTTAGGTATGTAAACTACATTCCAGTTAGGTTGATGTTTTCACTTGTTTCATTATTTCTCAGTCTTCACTATCTTTCAATAATTAAGGCTTCTTAATAATTAAATTATAAATACCTTTTGAATCCTGCCAATTCTCCTCCAAACCAAATCACTCTATTTACAGCCACCACTTCAATTCTACAGTTTATCTTCAGTTCTCCATCACAGTTCCCTGAACTTCTTATACCTGGCCCAGTCAGGTATGGACTCAGGTCAATAGAACAGCATTAATTGTGTGAATCACCTGCATTCCATAGAATTTTGAAGATGTCCAATGAAACAAAACTTAAAAATCCTAAGCTTTTTTAAGCACACTGCTATACATGCAAACACATAAGCTCAGGAGACAAAACAAAAATAATTAAAGGGTGTCCAAATCTTCGCCCAACATTTACCTGGTTGCCATGGTGGCACAGCTGTACCAGGCAGTCGGTGGACAGGTTTTATTTTGTTATTCTCTTAGACAACCTAAGATTTTAGGAGAAGGTTAAGAACAGAGGACAGTGTCCACATTATTGTGCTGTTTCTGGAAGGAAATTAGGATAGAGAAACAGTTTTCCCATTAGAACGTTGTATGCACTAGACTTCATTGAAAGCCATTGCATTTTCTTTAGTGAAGGATAAAAGAAAGAAAGAATTCAAGGAAAACCACAGACAAAACACAGGCTAAAATAACGATAAGAATGACAGATCAGCAAGTACAAAAGAAAGCCGAACAATTAGGCACAGTGCAACTATCCTAAAGAAAGACCAGGAAGCTTCACAGTGATAAAGTGTACTGGGCCAGACAAGAATAATCATCCCTTTGAGAAGCTGGCAGAAGCAGCTGCATGACTTCACCTGTTAAGGTTTTGTTCTCTTCTATTGTCAGTTTCCAAACTCCCTGAAAGAAAACTACCACTCCCCTAGTCCTTCATCATGCTCAGTTAAATGAAATTAGTATATCCATCTGGACGTGACTAATCCAGAAACATTCAGCTAGTTCTTACAGAGCTATTTATCTATCTTACAGAGAGCTTTATCTACATGACAAGTCAAGGCGTGCTGAAGGCACAGATGGACATTGTATGACTAGCTTTTGTCTAAGCAACACATATAACAAGGAAAAATACAGTAATGCAAATTAATCCTATAACATTTTAAAAAGGATTCTCAAGAGTAGCTTGATTACAAATCCATGCTACTTTGCTTTTTCAGGCACATATCTGGGTTGATTAAATGAAAGTCAGCAGAGGCACATACACTGTCCTCCCATCACACCTCCACTCAGAGCATCTCAAGAGGAGCCCAGACTCTCTGATGTGCTTTGCAGGGCAGGCAGGCTGGACAAAGCCCCCAGTTACAGCTACAAGCTGTGATGACAATGTCCTGAGTTCCCATCATTCTCCCTGCCTAAAATATCAATTCTAATTCTTAATTTATGTATTATGTCCCTTGAAATCAGAGCTAGAACTAAAGTGTCAGGTCTTAGAAGGGAAGGAACTCATCAGTTCATTTACCTCTTTGTAACTGAGAAACAGCAGAGATTCGCTAAAAAGAGCTCAAATTAAAGGCTTCTCCTCACAACGCAGTTTTATTTCTGGAGCAGTATAAGAGCTAATGTCTTATTTGCAATTTTACTGTACACACACAGGTTCCTCTGTGCACGCCACAGCAAAAGTATTTCTGTAATGAGAGGCTGCACAGCAGCTAGCAACACTTTTCAAACATCACTGGTCACAAAGCCTGTGGCAGCTAAAGATAAATGGAGAGGTTTTCATGCACAGAGAACATTACTACATCTTATATATTTAATCCATCACTTGCAGTTTTAGTATTCCATCTACAAATAACATTGGAATTAACAATTAGAAACTAGAATGGATACACAAGCAGCTGGAATGGGATTCCTGTAGCCTAATTTCAGCTATCTAAATAGCAGGCAGTTATGTTCAACTAATCATGTAGCTCACTCTTTAGTCAGGACAGAACAGCTGAATCATTGATCCCTGGAGTGCATCCCCTGTACGTGCATCTTGGCATGCTGAAAATTATCCAGAATTCAGCTGGAAATTTTGCCCAAAAAACAAGAATAGTTTGCTAGACTTATTCTCCAAAGAGATGGATGCAAATGGAAACACACGATGGATATTCTAGAGCAGGAAAAGTTACGGAAACAATGGGATTGCTGCAAACAAGTTATATTCAGGTAGAATATTTCTTTACTGCACAACCAAATAGTTTTTATCAGTCAATGCAATTTTGTGCAGACATTTGTTCACAGCTTTAAGGATTAAGCTTTCATTAAAAAAGCTGTCCAAACTCATTTCCATTACACTTCAGGGTTCATTGTTGTTTTGTTGGTTTTTTTTTTTTCCAATTTGTTTGTTGTTATTAAAAGGAACCGTTGTGACAGTTTTTGACAAAGCAAATTCCAAGTGTTAATAGTGATAATACTTCCCCAAACAACTGGACCACAAGATAAAACTCAGTTCCCTAAAAAAGGCTGTGCAGTGCTCAGATAGCTTTCCTCATGCCATCCAATAACAGTGAAGTTCTGCAGAACTGAGTGTTGCTGAAGAACAGAAAAGCCAAAATAATTTTCTTGCCTTTTCCAAGCAGTTCAAGAAACCTGCTACCTCTGCCTTCAGCAGCAAAATACTGAAAGTATCGTTAAAGTGCATGAAGAGAACCACCATATTGAGAAAAGCCAACAAAAACACTGATGACAGCATTTCATTTATAAACAAAAAGGCAAAAGTTCCACTAGGTAACAATCCATGCAACAATAAGGCTGCATGGGAGCAGAGAATGAAAGGGCAGATCAGTGATCTCTACCCAGACAGCTTTTAGGCAGCAAAAGGAAACTGTGCTTTAAGCAGGCTCAAACTACCACTTACACTGACAATACTGAACTCTCATATGCCACAGTTGGATGTCTGCTTCTAGCAGAACCTGCATTCAAAGGCCAAACTACTGATATTTGTGGGTATTCTAAGAGTGTAATTTGCTCATTCACTGTTTTAAGACTAGCACATAACATTATTTACTTCACTATGGATTAGCACTCTCATTAAAATTTTGTGTTTATGGGCTTTTACCCCGACAAGTGAAGGTGTGCTTCTTAAGCACTACACTGCAGATATCACCTATGTATTTACACTCACCAGCTTCAGCACCTGCAAAAGCTACACAAACAAAGCACAGTTTTACCAAAGATAAGTTAAAAGCTGTATTGCTGATAATATATTAGTTCTTCTGAAACAGTTCAGAGTTCCAAACACTGCGTTTGTGGTCTGTGTGAAGGAAAGAGACACAGCTTTCCCACACAACTGTTAGGCTGCAGCAGAGTAATTAAATGAACAGTTAAGCAGAGATCCTGATTTCTCCCTAAATAAAAAGGCATGAAATTACTACTGGTCTTTTACTGTACTTTGCAAATCTAGGCTAGGGAACACTTCTACCAAACAAGTTAGCTAATACTACCCAACTCAAAGGATTTAGCAATGTAATAACCCACTGTTTCAGAAAGTGCAACGATTTCACTCTTCAGTTAAGATACGCTGATAGCTTCAGAACACTATAATCCTTTGTGGATATTAATATCAACATGAAGTACTTACCCTTCAGCAATAACTCTTTGCCATTTGCAGTAATTTGGTTTACCATTATTCTTCTTCCTGCTTTTAGTGCATGCTTTAGAAAAAGCCTTCTCTGTCAAGTCCTGAGGATCAGACAAGTTTAATACTGTATTCCCAAAAGAAGTTTTTCTACCTCCTCTGACAAAGTGACTGCTGCCTGCAGAGCTGAATGGGATTGATCTCTTTCAGGAAACAAAAGGGTTCCTTAGAGAAAGCTAAGCCAACACTGATACAATCCTAGCATTATAATCTTCTAAATGCTGAGAAAATAGGCAAATATCAAGATCTTACTGAAAACGCTGTTTGTGAAATCAAACTCGGCCACGTCTAAGAGGCACATTGCACTGTTTGCACACTTACTCAGAAGAGCGTGTGCCACAAATCCGCTGCTTGCTCAGTGTGGAATCAGACAGCATTTTAAACCAGCTAATGCCATGAAAATTACAGCTCTGTGACGTTTGCCCTCCAGGCATTTCAGCTTTCAAGTGAAAACAGTGATGTATTTCTTTCCATCTTCAATAACTTTTACTATGATTTCCCATTAGGGGATAAATCATATGAAAGATGCAACAAAATAAATAAATCTGTATGATGAAATGGAGGCTTATATAAGAGACATGTAGAACAATGGTTTTAAGTAGTTCATAATTACTAGAACCCCATGCATTCTGTTTGTTTATAAGGTAATCTTTCAAATACCACACACACCACACTTGCTGCTTTATCCAGGAGCTGCAATCACCAAGTCACTTTTGAGAAAACGAATTCAGGAACTCACACACTGCTTCAGAGTTTTCATAATCTAACTCCTCATTGCCAGCTGAAAAACACTACAGTGAAGTACAAAGGCTGTTTTTATAATACGCTTCAGAGGTTCCTTCATGTGGAAAAACTCCAAATCATTTCTCATGACAATCATCCCCAAACTCGGTCCCCTCACACGCATGAAGGCATCTCAGATAGAACACACCCTGTGTCAAAATACAGCAAGAAATGTTATTGCTATCCCTGTCTCAGGGAAAGACTCTTTCCCTGCAGAAAAACAATCCCAGTTTCTCTGAGTCACCAACATACAGCTGTGAGACTGGCATATAGGTTTCATGCAAAATTTACTTCACTTCTCTCTTTGATATCAAATTGTTTTCAGCCCCGTACCCATTCAGCTGACCACAGGAAGAAAGATGAACATACTTAAGAAATAAAACATATTTAAACAAATAACAACAACTAGAAGCCATGGAGTGAGACCAAGCAGCTGGGAACAGCTCAGAGGACTTCCTACAGAGAACACATAG